GTTTAAAAGGATAACTTTTGTAATGTTTTACAATTTTTATTTTATGAAATTCCCCTTCCTCCCCTGAGGAGCCTCCACTGGTGTACGTGACCTTTGATGATCTGTGTAGATTTTCTGTTACTACTTACTACTACAGTGGTTCTAAACTTTTTTGATTTACCTTACCCCCAATGACATATTGCGCTGCCCATGATTCTTCCCAAGTTGTCACGTTCGTTGTGTAAAGGATCGGACCAAGGTGCAGCGTGGTATGCGTACATAGTCGTTTATTTTAATCAACACCGGCAAAATCCAACAGAACGTGAAGTTCAAGAGGCTAAACATCAACAAACCAAACAGAAACAAGATCCCACAACTAAGGTAGGCAACATGGCTGCCTAAGTATGATCCCCAATCAGAGACAACGACCGACAGCTGCCTCTGATTGGGAACCACACCAGGCCAACATAGAAATATCTAAATTAGATTTCACACCCTGACCAACCCAACTAGAGATCTCAATGTCAGGGCGTGAGAGTACCCCCCCCCCCCCCCCCCCCGGACGCAAAAACCTGACTCATTAGGGGAGGGTCCGGGTGGGCATCTAGCCTCGGTGGCGGCTCCGGCTCCGGCTCCGGCTTCGGACGTGACGTAGGCAGTAAACTCTTCTCCCATCCTGCCTCCCCTTTGCACGCCCGGTCCGGTCTGGACCCCGGTGCGATGCTCCCCCTCTCAGTCCTCCCCCAATGCACCAAGCCCTGTCTGGACCCTGGTGTGGGAGCCCTCGACCCTGGAGAGGGGCTGACGTCTGGTCCCGGCCCAGCAGTCCTCCCGCGATGCACCAAGTCCTGTCTGGACCCTGGTGTGGGAGACCCCGACCCTGGAGAGGGGTTGACGTCTGGCTCCGGCTCGGACCCCGGTGGAGCGGATGGCTCCGGCATGGGGGAAGAGTAGACGACCGGACCCGGACAGGGCACCGGTGAAGCGGACTGCCCCAGCTCTGGTATGGAGCAGATAACCGGAGCTGGACTAGGCACCGGTGGAGCGGACTGCTCTGGCACTGGAGTGAAGCAGCTGACCGGAGCTGGACTAGGCACCGGTGGAGCGGACTGCTCTGGCACTGGAGTGGAGCAGCTGACCGGAGCTGGACTAGGCATCGGTGGAGCGGACTGCTCTGGCCACTGGAGTGGAGCAGCTGACCGTCGCTGGAGGTCAGGTGCGTGGCGCTGGAACGGGCCGTACCGGCCTGGGGACACACACCAATGGTTTGGTGCGAGGAGCAGGAACGGGCCGTACCGGACTGGATACACGCACCACTGGTTTGGTGCGAGGAGCAGGAACGGGCCGTACCGGACTGGATACACGCACCACTGGTTTGGTGCGAGGAGCAGGAACGGGCCGTACCGGACTGGATACAGGCACCACTGGTTTGGTGCGAGGAGCAGGAACGGGCCGTACCGGGCTGGAGACACGCACCACTGGTTTGGTGCGAGGAGCAGGCACGGGCCGTACCGGATTGGAGACACAAACCACTGGTTTGGTGCGAGGAGCAGGCACGACCCGTCCTGGCTGAACGCTCACTTTAGCCCGGCAAGAGCGGGACGCGGGCACCAAGCGCACCGGGCTGTGAATGCGCACTGGAGATACAGTGCATATCACAGCATAACAGGGTGCCTGAACGGTCCCATGCTCCTTAACGTGAGTGCGGGGAGTTGGCTCTACTCTGAAACCTGGCTCCGCCAGCCTCTGCTCTAAGGACTGCGTTCTCTGCTGCTGTAGGGTTAACTCCTCTCTCAGCTCCTCCTGTTGCCTAGCCAGCTCCTCTCTCAGTACATCCACTGACTCCTTCTCCCTGTGGGCCTCCTGCAGCGCCTCCTTCTGAAGGGAGAGCTCCTGCTCCCTCAGAGTGCTGAGCTGCAGGTCTTTAGCTGCTTGGAGGGCCTCCATCTTCAGAGTGGCCTCCTCTCTAGCTCTCTCCTCCTTCACAGTCAGCCCTTTCAGGGCAAAAAAAAATGTTGTTAACCCCAAAAAAATTATTGGGGCTGCCTCTCGGGCTTCCTTCGTGATCAGGACCTTTTGAGTCGCCGTTTTTTCTCCCTCGCTGCCTCCGTCTGCTCCCAAGGAAGGTGATCCATACCTGCCTGGATCTCTTCCCACGTCCATGATCCTTTTCCGTCTAATATCTCCTCCCATGTCCATGATGTCTGCTCCTCCTGTGGTTGGGATCTTCTGTCACGTTCGTTGTGTAAAGGATCGGACCAAGGTGCAGCGTGGTATGCGTACATAGTCATTTATTTTAATAAACATCGACAAAATAGCAAAATCCAACAGAACGTGAAGTTCAAGAGGCTAAACATCAACCAAGCCAAACAGAAACAAGATCCCACAACTAAGGTAGGCAACATGGCTGCCTAAGTATGATCCCCAATCAGAGACAACGACCGACAGCTGCCTCTGATTGGGAACCACACCCGGCCAACATAGAAATATATCAAATAGATTTCACACCCTGACCAACCCAACTAGAGATCTCAATGTCAGGGCGTGACACAAGTACCCCCTGTTGGATAGGCCAGGTACCCCTACGGGTACTAGTTCCCCAGGATGAGACCCACTGTCTTACATAAAGCCTTTCAATATTCACCTCGTCTCCTGAGCCTAAACCTTGGAACTCATTGCTTGCCACAGTGTGACAAAACTTTCTGGAAAAAATGCTCAAGAATAGGGTTATAATGGAAAACTTTAATTCCAGAAATAGTGATCGTAACTGTTGGGAGATAAAAAATAAAAAACATATTGGTCACAATTATTTAAATGCTCTAAGCAGAAGTTTCCGTTTCGGTAACACTCTACTTGACACCCAGCGTGTCAAGTAACAGTCATAACCATGTCATAATATGTCAGAACAGCTGAGATAAATTGTCATAACCTGTTATAATATGGTCATAACACTGTCATGACACATATATTTAGACCTGTTGTGACATATATTGTGTTATTTTATGGCTAGTTATGACACCTACATAAGAGTGTCAAAACCCACAAAACCTACCACACATGGCAAAACCTTCCGTTACACTATAGCCTCCATGTCAACAGTATGTTTATGTTATATACTATATACATTATAATTGACCATATTATTGTAATTGTAATTGCTCTGTTGCTGATGTTGCCGATAACTGGGATGAATGCAGGAGTAGATTTCAGGAGCAAGACACCCTCTTTTTGACTGATATAAGGGCATGTACGTGATAGGCCTATCTGGCTTATGTGATTATGATGGTCATAAGGCTTCTTGATAAAGTGTATTTTCTTAGTCCAAGTAAAGTGACACAGGATGGTCATAATGCTCAATTTCGAGTCTCATAGCAAAGAGTCTGAATACTTATGTAAATATGGTATTTCTGTTTTTTTATTTTTAATAAATTAGCAAAATGTTATAAAAACCTGTTTTTGCTTTGTTATTATGGGGTATTATGTGTAGAAAACTATTTAATCAATTTTAGAATAAGGCTGTAACGTAACAAAATGTGGAAAAAGTCAAGGGGTCTGAATACATTTTTACATTGACATTTTAGTAATTTAGCAGACGCTCTTATCCAGAGCGACTTACAGTTAGTGAGTGCATACATTTTTTTCCGAATGCACTGTATGTCACTGCAAGTACGTCAAAATATATATACAGTCGCTAGTGAAAGTCTTGCACATTCTTCAAATTTTGCTGCCTTAAAATTAAAACTAAAAAGTGATTCAATTAGATTTTTTTCCTATCCTTGCCAAATTTTCGAAGAGAGAGAGAGAACACATACACTAAAACAAAACTATTACATGAAACTTTTCTTGTTCTGCAGCTTTACTTATTATTTTTCTTGCTCTGTATTTTCTTGCTTGAGAAACTGCTATTTTCTAAGAAGCTCTTTTTGTTTCTTTTTGACCATTTCCAAAGTGAAAGAAAATTATAAAACATTTTCCAAATTGCAAAGAAATACAAAATGATGATGTATTGATTGCGTATGTCTTCACAGAGTTAATAATTGGTGGAAGCACCTTTGGCAGCCATTACAGCTATGAATAATTTTGAACTCTTAGGGAAGTATATATCCATTGTTTTTGTCAAAATGTCTCAAGCGCAGTAAAGTTGGTTGGGAATCACTGATGGGCAGCAATATTCAAACCCATTCAGGAACACTTCACACCTATTGGAAAGCCATTGTGTTGTGTTTTTGGCATTACAAGTTGTGTTATTGTCCCTTATAAAAATAAAACTATCTCAGGGACAGGTTTTCAGAAAACTGAGGGGGGTTTTCCTATAACTTTTTACCTGGGCTTTGCTCCTTTCATATTTATTTTCATCCTAAAAAAACTCCCGGTCCCTGCCGGTGACAAGCATAACCATAACATGATGCTGCCACCACAATACTTGAAAATATGAAGGGATCAACAACATTGCATTCATGCCACATTACTGTCCTGTATGACAAAGTGAAAAGAAGGAAGCCTGTGTTAAAAAATCCACTCCAAATCATCCATTATGTTTGCAACAAGACATTAACTACTGTGGCCTAAATTAAATACTACAGGTTTGGGTCAAATCCAATACATCACAAGACAGAGTGAAACCCTCTGTATTTTCCAGTATTGTGGTGGCAGCATCATGTTATGTGTGTACGTGTCATTGGCAGGGACTGGGGAGTTTGTCAGGATCAAAATCAATATGAAAGGAGCAAAGCCCAGTTAAAGGAAAACCCCCCTCAGTCTTCTGAAAACCTAACCCTGGGATAGAGTTCTGTTTTTCAGACGGACAATTAAACAAATGTTTATGCCTAAGACCAGAATTGCTTACCAAGAGGTGTTGAGAGTGTTCCTGAGTGGTCTAAAATGTGAAAATCAAAGGTTTGAATATTGCTGTCGATCAATGATTCCTAACCAAATTTACTGATCTTGAGCAATTTGGACAAACCAATGGACATATGTTGCCATAAGAGTTGATAGAATTTATGATTTTGTTTTGGTCTCACCTCTGTCAAGTACATTAACACATGGTCATCTTTAGTATCAACACGATTCACTTGAAGTGAACTCCTCAGCTTGGAAGACAAGCCATACATGTTATTAATCTTGCATTGACAGCAAAGTTCAGTTTCAGAAAGGTTCACAGGTGAAAGAGGCAAGAGCTACTATATAATAATAATATAATAATAATAATAATATATAATAATTAAAAATAATAATAATAATTATTATTATTATTATAATAATGATATATAATAATTAAAAATAATAATAATAATAATTATTATTATTATTATTATTATTATTATAATAATAATATTATACTATACATGGAAAAAGGCCACAGGTAACACCATAAAAGTATGTTATGACAAAAACTCACCCTCCCCAAAGACTCTGGGTCTGGGGCAAACCCAGACAACATTTTCAAATCCACTATAATCATATTGGTGGTCAGCTCCTTTCCATGATATCTGTGAAAGCAAAGAGATGCCTGATATCAAAGTCTGATATGTGCTTGTAATAATCAAATGAATGAATTTATTTTACCAATAAAAAGACCAGGTTGCCTGATATGTTTTCTTACTGTTACTGTTACATAGGTACAAACTAGAAATTATATAACTTATACATACAGTGCCCTCTGTAATTATTGGGACAGTGAAGCATTTTTTAAAATCAGAAAATGACTACGAGTTTAAAGTGCAGACTGTCAGCTTTAATTTGAGGGTATTTTCATCTATAAAGTTACAGACGCAAAAATATCATACCCCCCAAAAATGCTAACCTCCCCTGTTATTGTAATGGTGAGAGGTTAGCATATCTTGGGAGTATGATATTTGTGCAACTGCAACTTTCTCACTCATCATTATTCACAATTCATTCAGGATTATCCATAATCATGGTAGCATCCACATTAATATAGAAGTGTTTAGAAACATATTATATTCTTATTTACAATAAAAGTGACTCCAAAATGACACAATACATTAGTTACCATTCATTTCTATTGGGCACAAAATAATCTGAAACAAACAGAAAATGCATCCAACGAAATTGTAGAGTGAATATGGGACCAAGTACTTTTTTTTTACTACTTTAATACACATAAAAGTGAATTTGTCCTAATACCTTTGGTTCCCTAAAATAGGGGGACTATGTACAAAAAGTGCTGTAATTTCTAAATGGTTCACCTGATATGGATGTAAATACCCTGATTTAACCTGTAAATACCCTGATTTCAAATCCAGACTTTTGGAGTATAGAGCCAAAATAAGAAAAAATGCTTCTTTGTCCCAATAATTACAGAGGGCACTGTAGGTATAATAACACCAATTAAATTGGGTCAAAAATATTCTGTAAGACATGCTAAAAAATAACACTGTATGTTATCAATGACCTGATTCAAAGAATGCTGTGCATGCAAATGTGTTATTCATTCTTACTGAGACTGGAGTTTCAGTGTGACTCTGGGTCTCAAAGAGTTGCTGTTGCAGTCGACCTCTGTCTTCACCTGGATACTGAGCGTTGTGCTGTCAGTAGGAGTAGGGATGTTGTAGTGGAGCGCCATCTGGGAAAGAGGGAAGAAGAAGTCAGGGAAACAATGTGGTCTAAAAATCTACATTTTAAAAGATAGAAAAAAAGAAACATTTCATAAACTAGATATCAAGCCAGGCGAAGCTTCTTAAATGTTTGAACTTCACAGTAATGTATAAATCAGATCTTGCAACATAGGATTGTGAGGAGTGTCTTCACTGACCTGCACTGAGGCACAAGCACTGCCCTTCACTTCCACACTGTACTTTCCTTCTGTGTCCTGCAGCGCCCTCTCCTGGTAGAGAAGCTTGTTGTTTTGGTTCACATTGAAGAGGTGCTGTCCCCCACTGGGAGACCGTACTGTCACTGTGCTGGTGCCCTCTCTACTGAACACCCTGGTGGAGTAGAGAGTGATGTGGAAAATAATCACTATACTTTATTAAAAATCAAAGTTCTTCCAGAGTTTTTGTAGAATCTAGATTTGACTTTATTACAATTCAACAAAGCCGTGCTGGTCTGCAGAGTAGCCTTTCTTCTCTCTCTCTGCTTCCCCTCTATATAGTCTCATTCACACACATCCTATCTTAAAATCCCTCCCTCTTCAGTTTCCCGCTCTCTATCGCTCCGCCCACTTCCTTTGTCTATGATGACAGCTAAATTCGACTGTCATTCAGTTAGTTTACAATTTAGTCATTTTAGCAGACGCTCCTATCCAGAGGGACTTACAGTTAGTGCATACATTTTTCATACTGGCCCTCCGTGGGAAATGAACCCACAACCCTGGTGTTGCAAGCGCCATGCTCTACCAACTGAGCTACAGGGGACTATATTGTTTAGAAACAATATTATTACAATCAATCACGCCCTTGTCATGCAAAAACACTTATGTTCAGTTTAAACTGTTCAACCCCGGCTCTCCCGGGCTTGACCTGAAGACTGATTGTTGGACATGACAGGTTCACACTTCATCTTTCAAACATACACAAACCCCACCCCATCATGCTGTAATCAATCAAGAAGATAGCCAAGGAGAGACAAAGGTTTAGCCTGCTCTCTGTTCAACCCTGGCACCGCTCTTTACACTTTGTTTGACGAGAGAGGCAAAAGGCCACAGTCTGGTTTCAGTCTCTGATAACGTAGGACAGCCATGGGTTTAGGTAAGAGCGAGCAATTCGACCCTAGGTCAGATTCCCACTTCACACACACACAAACACAGTGAAATGACCCAATTAAGTTCTTGCCTAGCAACAGAGAATTCTAACTATATGTTCGTGAATAAATCAGTTGTATCTCATCACTAAAAAATCTCCCTCAAGAGCTAGGGCCTGGAGGGCCACCACTGTGTCCTAAACACAAACACCAACAGACCACAGAAAAATCTGTTCAAAATTAAAGAAAATACCCCATTTTACAGAAAGTGTAGATTTTTATATTGGTCAGCTCCTAGAGTGACTATTTCCCATTTCTATTCATTATGATTTCTTGCCTCCATTTCAGTGGAAGTTAGTTTTGCCAGGCTTGACATGACAAGAAGCACATACATGCCTGTGGTGAAGTCAAGGTAATAATGCCTCATTACTAGTGCACAGTTCAGGGTGCCATTTCGGACCAGAGGTGTTTTGGAAGTATACCTGTGTGGAGGAGAAGCCTCCGTAGGCGTTCTGCTGCCTCACCAGCCACCTGACGATGTGGGAGACGTAGCCCAGGTCAGTGGTAGACAGAGGGGAGGCACTGAGGAAAGCCAGCAGAACGTAGGAGCTGATCTCCACTGCCAGGGAGGCTGAGGTCTCTGAGGAGGTCTGAGTCCAGTGCAGGAGACCCCCTGAGGGATGAGGAACACACACATACACAGAGAGAGAGCAAGAGAGAGAGCGAGAGAGAGAGAGAGAGAGAGAGAGGACTAGTTTATTCATCATTATACAGAATACAAAGTTATTCTCTGATCTCCCCAATTAATTTTGACAGACACCGGAGTTCTTTGAATTACTAATTTAATTGAGACTATCTAGAGTGCCAGACGTGCGGAGGGTTTGCACTTTTGTGATTACTCCATTGGCTCCATTGCCCAGGTAGGGTCAATCAAGGCAAGACAGCACAAACCTCTCTGGATTTCAACCAAATTATGATAAGTGTACTATATTACGTATTGGATATCAAAGTAATACAACTTTTACATTATCGTGTAGTTTACCAATAAAATAGTCTGACGGTGATGTGGACATACTCGGTATACATATCCCGAAAGAAAGAAATTATCTCAATCCAATACATTTTAATAGAAAGGTAGCAAAAATAGATAAGATCTTGCTACCATGGAAAGGAAAATACCTGTCTATTTGTGGAAAAATCACCCTGATTAACTCTTTAGTCACATCCTAATTTACCTATTTGCTTATGGTCTTGCCTACACCTAGCGACCTGTTTTATAAATTATATGAGCAAAAAACATTCCATTTTATTTGGAATGGCAAGCCAGACAAAATGAAAAACGGCCTAATTATATAATGATTATGTTAAAGCATTAGACCTCTCACTAAAGGCGTCAGTCATACAAAAGTCATACTTACAGTTGAAGTCGGAAGTTTACATACACTTGGGTTGGAGTCATTAAAACTCGTTTTTCAACCATTCCACAAATTCCAACAATTGTTTACATACATATTATTTAACTTATAATTCACTGTATCACAACTCCAGTGGGTCAGAAGTTTACATACACTAAGTTGACTGTGCCTTTAAACAGCTTGGAAAATTCCAGAACATGATGTCATGGCTTTAGAAGCTTCTGATAGGCTAATTGACACCATTTGAATCAATTGGAGGTGTACCTGTGGATTTATTTCAAGGCCTACCTTCAAACTCAGTGCCTCTTTGCTTGACATCATGGGAAAATCAAAAGAAATCAGCCAAGACCTCAGAAAACAAATTGTAGACCTCCACAAGTCTGGTTCATCCTTGGGAGCAATTTCCAAACACCTGAAGGTACCACGTTCATCTGTACAAACAATAGTACGCAAGTATAAACAGCATGGGACCACGCAGCCGTCATACCGTTCAGGAAGGAGACACGTTCTGTCTCCTGGAGATGAACGTACTTTGGTGCGAAAAGTGCAAATCAATCCCAGAACAACAGCAAAGGACCTTGTGAAGATGCTGAAGGAAACAGGTACAAAAGTATCTATATCCACAGTAAAACGAGTCCTATATCGACATAACCTGAAAGTCCGCTCAGCAAGGATGAAGCCACTGCTCCAAAACCACCATTAAAAAGCCAGTCTACGGTTTGCAACTGCACATGGGGACAAAGATTGTACTTTTTGGAGAAATGTCCTCTGGTCTGATGAAACAAAAATAGAACTGTTTGGCCATAATGACCATCGTTATGTTTGGAGGAAAAAGGGGGGGGGGCTTGCAAGCCGAAGAACACCATCCCAACCGTGAAACACGGGGTGGCAGCATCATGCTGTGGGGGTGCTCTGCTGCAGGAGGGACTGGTGCACTTCACAAAATAGATGGCATCATGAGGAAGGAAAATTATGTGGATATATTGAAGCAACATCTCAAGACATCAGTCAGGAAGTTAAAGCTTGGTCGCAAATGGGTCTTCCAAATGGACAATGACCCCAAGCATACTTCCAAAGTTGTGGCAAAATGGCTTAAGGACAACAAAGTCAAGGTATTGGAGTGGCCATCACAAAGCCCTGACCTCAATCCTATAGAAAATGTATGGGCAGAACTGAAAAAGCGTGTGCGAGTAAGGAGGCCTACAAACCTGACTCAGTTACACCAGCTCTGTCAGGAGGAATGGGCCAAAATTCACCCAACTTATTGTGGGAAGCTTGTGGAAGGCTACCCAAAATGTTTGACCCAAGTCAAACAATTTAAAGGCAATGCTAACAAATACTAATTGAGTGTATGTAAACTTCTGACCCACTTGTGATGAAAGAAATTAGAGCTGAAATAAATCATTCTCTCTACTATTATTCTGACATTTCACATTCTTAAAATGAAGTGGTGATCCTAACTGACCTAAGACAGGGAATTTTTACTAGGATTAAATGTCAGGAATTGTGAAAAACTGAGTTTAAATGTATTTGGCTAAGGTGTATGTAAACTTCTGACTTCAACTGGCCTTTTTCCCCATTTATTCAGATTACAACCTCTCACTTTCAGTTATTTGAAAACGAAATAATCTCCAAAATATCGCTATTTTTAAAACAAGCCATAGAAAGTTGGTTGCAATTTCAGTATAATCCACCAGAAAAGACAGAACAAATAATACAACAAATATTGTGGTTAAACTCAAATATAGTAATTGATTTAAAAAAAAACATGATTTAAAAAAAGGTATCATCTTTGTAAATGATATTGGTTTCTCAAATGACTGCCTCGCCTGGTTCACCAACTACTTCTCAGATAGAGTTCAGTGTGTCAAATCGGAGGGCCTGTTGTCTGGACCTATGGCAGTCTCTATGGGGGTGCCACAGGGTTCAATTCTTGGGCCGACACTTTTCTCCGTGTATATCAATGATGTCGCTCTTGCTGCTGGTGACTCTCAGATCCACCTCTACGCAGACGACACCATTTTGTATACATCTGGCCCTTCATTGGACACTGTGTTAACAAACCTCCAAACGAGCTTCAATGCCATACAACAATCCTTCAGTAGCCTTCAACTGCTCTTAAACACTAGTAAAACTAAATGCATGCTTTTCAATCGAACGCTGCTAGCACCCGCCCACCCGACTAGAATCACCACTCTCGACGGGTCTGACCTAGAGTATGTGGACAACTACAAATATCTAGGTGTCTGGTTAGACTGTAAACTCAACTTCCAGACTCACATAAAGAATCTCCAATCCAAAGTTAAATCTAGAATCGGCTACCTATTTCGCAACAAAGCCTCCTTCACTCATGCTGCCAAACATGCCCTCGTAAAACTGACTATCCTACCGATCCTTGACTTCAGCGATGTCATTTACAAAATAGCCTCCAACACTCTACTCAGCAAATTGGATGTAGTCTATCACAGTGCCATCCGTTTTGTCTCCAAAGCCCCATACACTACCCACCACTGTGACCTGTACGCTCTTGTTGGCTGGTCCTCACTACATGTTCGTCGTCAAACCCACTGGCTCCAGGCCATCTATAAATCACTGCTAGGCAAATCCCCGCCTTATCTTAGCTCATTGGTCACCATAGCAGCACCCACCCGTAGTCTGCACTCCAGCAGGTATATCTCACTGGTCATTCCCAAAGCCAACACCTCCTTTGGCCGCCATTCCTTCCAGTTCTCTGCTGCCAATGACTGGAACGAATTGCAAAAATCTCTGAAGCTGGAGACTCTTATCTCCCTCAATAACTTTAAGCATCAGTTGTCAGAGCACCTTACCGATCACTGCACCTGTACACAGCCCATCTGAAATTAGCCCACCCAACTACCTCATCCCTATATTGTTATTTATTTTGCTCTTTTGCACCCCAGTATCTCTATTTGCACATAATCTCTTGCACATCTAGCATTCCAGTGTTAATACTATTGTAATTATTCTGCACTATAGCCTATTTATTGCCTTACCTCCATAACTTGCTACATTTGCACACACTGTATATATATTTTCTGTTGTATTTCTGACTTTATGTTTTTTTTCACCCCATATGTAACTCTGTGTTAATTTTATTGCACTACTTTGCTTTATCTTGGCCAGGTCGCAGTTGTAAATGAGAACCTGTTCTCAACTGGCTTACCTGGTTAAATAAAGGTGAAATAAAAATAAAAATAATATCATAAATAGGACTGGTGGAGTTATGTCACACATGCAGCTAACACAAATATATGGAAATGTCTGCTCTACCCAAAATTACAACCAACAAATTGCAGCATTACCGCAAAAAACAATGCATTAAGCAAAAAAATGTGTGCTGAAATGTTGTTATTCATTCTTACTGAGACTGGAGTTTCAGGTGACTCTGGGTCTCAAAGAGTTGCTGTTGCAGTCGACCTCTGTCTTCACCTGGATACTGAGCGTTGTGCTGTCAGTAGGAGTAGGGATGTTGTAGTGGAGCGCCATCTGGGAAAGAGGGAAGAAGAAGTCAGGGAAACAATGTGGTCTAAAAATCTACATTTTAAAAGATAGAAAAAAAGAAACATTTCATAAACTAGATATCAAGCCAGGCGAAGCTTCTTAAATGTTTGAACTTCACAGTAATGTATAAATCAGATCTTGCAACATAGGATTGTGAGGAGTGTCTTCACTGACCTGCACTGAGGCACAAGCACTGCCCTTCACTTCCACACTGTACTTTCCTTCTGTGTCCTGCAGCGCCCTCTCCTGGTAGAGAAGCTTGTTGTTTTGGTTCACATTGAAGAGGTGCTGTCCCCCACTGGGAGACCGTACTGTCACTGTGCTGGTGCCCTCTCTACTGAACACCCTGGTGGAGTAGAGAGTGATGTGGAAAATAATCACTATACTTAAAAAAAAATCAAAGTTCTTCCAGAGTTTTTGTAGAATCAAGATTTGACTTTATTACAATTCAACAAAGCCGTGCTGGTCTGCAGAGTAGCCTTTCTTCTCTCTCTCTGCTTCCCCTCTATATAGTCTCATTCACACACATCCTATCTTAAAATCCCTCCCTCTTCAGTTTCCCGCTCTCTATCGCTCCGCCCACTTCCTTTGTCTATGATGACAGCTAAATTTGACTGTCATTCAGTTTACAATTTAGTCATTCTCCTGAGTGGCGCAGTGGTCTAAGGCACTGCATCGCAGTGCTAACTGTGTCACTAGAGATCCTGGTTCGATTCCAGGCTCTGTCGCAGCCGGCCGCGACCGGGAGACTCATGGGCGGCGCACAATTGGCCCAGCGTCGTCCAGGGTAGGGAAGGGAATGGCCGGCAGGGATGTAGCTCAGTTGATAGAGCATGGCGTTTGCAACGCCAGGGTTGTGGGTTCGACGCCAGGGTTGTGGGTTCGATTCCCACGGGGGGCCAGTATAAAAAAATATGTATTCACTAACTGTAAGTCGCTCTGGATAAGAGCGTCTGCTAAATGACTAAAATGTAAATGTAATTTAGCAGACGCTCCTATCCAGAGCGACTTACAGTTAGTGCATACATTTTTCACACTGGCCCTCCATGGGAAACGAACCCACAACCCTGGTGTTGCAAGCGCCATGCTCTACCAACTGAGCTACAGGGGACTATATTGTTTAGAAACAATATTATTACAATCAATCACGCCCTTGTCATGCAAAAACACTCATGTTCAGTTTAAACTGTTCAACCCCGGCTCTCCCGGGCTTGACCTGAAGACTGATTGTTGGACATGACAGGTTCACACTTCATCTTTCAAACATACACAAACCCCACCCCATCATGCTGTAATCAATCAAGAAGATAGCCAAGGAGAGACAAAGGTTTAGCCTGCACTCTGTTCAACCCTGGCACCGCTCTTTCCACTTTGTTTGAGGAGAGAGGCAAAAGGCCACAGTCTGGTTTCAGTCTCTGATAAGGTAGGACAGCCATGGATTTAGGTAAGAGCGAGCAATTCGACCCTAGGTCAGATTCCCACTTCACACACACACACAAACACAGTGAAATGACCCAATTAAGTTCTTGCCTAGCAACAGAGAATTCTAACTATATGTTCGTGAATAAATCAGTTGTATCTCATCACTAAAAAATCTCCCTCAAGAGCTAGGGCCTGGAGGGCCACCACTGTGTCCTAAACACAAACACCAACAGACCACAGAAAAATCTGTTCAAAATTAAAGAAAAGACCCCATTTTACAGAAAGTGTAGATTTTTATATTGGTCAGCTCCTAGAGTGACTATTTCCCATTTCTATTCATTATGATTTCTTGCCTCCATTTCAGTGGAAGTTAGTTTTGCCAGGCTTGACATGACAAGAAGCACATACATGCCTGTGGTGAAGTCAAGGTAATAATGCCTCATTACTAGTGCACAGTTCAGGGTGCCATTTCGGACCAGAGGTGTTTTGGAAGTATACCTGTGTGGAGGAGAAGCCTCCGTAGGCGTTCTGCTGCCTCACCAGCCACCTGACGATGCGGGAGGAGTAGCCCAGGTCAGTGGTAGACAGAGGAGAGGCACTGAGGGAAGCCAGCAGAACGTAGGAGCTGATCTCCACTGCCAGGGAGGCTGAGGTCTCTGAGGAGGTCTGAATCCAGTGCAGGTGCATCCCTGAGGGATTAGGAACACACACATATACAGAGAGAGAGCAAGAGAGAGAGAGAGAGAGAGAGAGAGAGAGAGAGAGAGAGAGAGAGAGAGAGAGAGAGAGAGAGAGAGAGAGAGAGAGAGATAGGACTAGTTTATTCATCATTATACAGAATACAAAGTTATTCTCTGATCTCCCCAATTAATTTTGACAGACACCGGAGTTCTTTGAATTACTAATTTAATTGAGACTATCTAGAGTGCCAGACGTGCGGAGGGTTTGCACTTTTGTGATTACTCCATTGGCTCCATTGCCCAGGTAGGGTCAATCAAGGCAAGACAGCACAAACCTCTCTGGATTACAACCAAATTATGATAAGTGTACTATATTACGTATTGGATATCAAAGAAATACAACTTTTACATTATCGTGTAGTTTACCAATAAAATAGTCTGACGGTGATGTGGACATACTCGGTATACATATCCCGAAAGAAAGAAATTATCTCAATCCAATACATTTTAATAGAAAGGTAGCAAAAATAGATAAGATCTTGCTACCATGGAAAGGAAAATACCTGTCTATTTGTGGAAAAATCACCCTGATTAACTCTTTAGTCACATCCTAATTTACCTATTTGCTTATGGTCTTGCCTACACCTAGCGACCTGTTTTATAAATTATATGAGCAAAAAACATTCCATTTTATTTGGAATGGCAAGCCAGACAAAATGAAAAACGCCTAATTATATAATGATTATGTTAAAGCATTAGACCTCTCACTAAAGGCGTCAGTCATACAAAAGTCATACTTACAGTTGAAGTCGGAAGTTTACATACACTTGGGTTGGAGTCATTAAAACTCGTTTTTCAACCATTCCACAAATTCCAACAATTGTTTACATACATATTATTTAACTTATAATTCACTGTATCACAACTCCAGTGGGTCAGAAGTTTACATACACTAAGTTGACTGTGCCTTTAAACAGCTTGGAAAATTCCAGAACATGATGTCATGGCTTTAGAAGCTTCTGATAGGCTAATTGACACCATTTGAATCAATTGGAGGTGTACCTGTGGATTTATTTCAAGGCCTACCTTCAAACTCAGTGCCTCTTTGCTTGACATCATGGGAAAATCAAAAGAAATCAGCCAAGACCTCAGAAAACAAATTGTAGACCTCCACAAGTCTGGTTCATCCTTGGGAGCAATTTCCAAACACCTGAAGGTACCACGTTCATCTGTACAAACAATAGTACGCAAGTATAAACAGCATGGGACCACGCAGCCGTCATACCGTTCAGGAAAGAGACACGTTCTGTCTCCTGGAGATGAACGTACTTTGGTGCGAAAAGTGCAAATCAATCCCAGAACAACAGCAAAGGACCTTGTGAAGATGCTGAAGGAAACAGGTACAAAAGTATCTATATCCACAGTAAAACGAGTCCTATATCGACATAACCTGAAAGTCCGCTCAGCAAGGATGAAGCCACTGCTCCAAAACCACCATTAAAAAGCCAGTCTACGGTTTGCAACTGCACATGGGGACAAAGATTGTACTTTTTGGAGAAATGTCCTCTCGTCTGATGAAACAAAAATAGAACTGTTTGGCCATAATGACCATCGTTATGTTTGGAGGAAAAAGGGGGGGGGCTTGCAAGCCGAAGAACACCATCCCAACCGTGAAACACGGGGTGGCAGCATCATGCTGTGGGGGTGCTCTGCTGCAGGAGGGACTGGTGCACTTCACAAAATAGATGGCATCATGAGGAAGGAAAATTATGTGGATATATTGAAGCAACATCTCAAGACATCAGTCAGGAAGTTAAAGCTTGGTCGCAAATGGGTCTTCCAAATGGACAATGACCCCAAGCATACTTCCAAAGTTGTGGCAAAATGGCTTAAGGACAACAAAGTCAAGGTATTGGAGTGGCCATCACAAAGCCCTGACCTCAATCCTATAGAAAATGTGTGGGCAGAACTGAAAAAGCGTGTGCGAGTAAGGAGGCCTACAAACCTGACTCAGTTACACCAGCTCTGTCAGGAGGAATGGGCCAAAATTCACCCAACTTATTGTGGGAAGCTTGTGGAAGGCTACGCAAAATGTTTGACCCAAGTCAAACAATTTAAAGGCAATGCTAACAAATACTAATTGAGTGTATGTAAACTTCTGACCCACTTGTGATGAAAGAAATTAGAGCTGAAATAAATCATTCTTGTCAGGGTTGAGTGTAGAGGGAACGTGGAATCACACGCAGGACACAGAGATTCAAAAAACAAATGTTTTTAGTGAAGTCCGACAGTACAAGCCAACACGGCAACAGGCCACAGGCGAAACAAATGTACACTGGAACAGTCCAAAGTACATACGCACAACGTGCAGGACTCTCTTAAACAAAACGAAATACAGAGAGCATAGAACAGCGGACCAACATCTACACGTGACATAGAACAATTACACACAACACCTGACCAAACACAAGAGAACTAAATAGGGTGCCTAATGAACACTTAACAATGAACAGGTGTGACAAACAGGCAAAACCAATCAAACATGAAACATCGAACGGTGGCAGCTAGTACTCCGGAGACGACGACCGCCGAAGCCTGCCCGAACGAGGAGAAGGAGCCGCCTCGGCCGAAACCGTGACAGTACCCCCCCCCTTGACGCGCGGCTCCAGCCGTGCGCCGCCCCCGGCCTCGGGGACGACCAGGAGGACGCGGAGCAGGGCGCGTAGGATGACCACGATGGAACTCGGTCAGAAGAGACGGGTCTAGGATGTCCCTCCTCGGCACCCAGCACCGCTCCTCCGGGCCGTACCCCTCCCACTCCACGAGATATTGGAGACCCCCCATCCGGCGTCTAGAATCTAGGATGGCCCGAACAGTGTACGCCGGAGCCCCCTCGATGTCCAACGGGGGCGGAGGAGTCTCTTCTATCTCAAAGTCCTGGAGTGGACCAGCTACCACCGGCCTGAGGAGAGACACATGGAACGAGGGGTTAATATTCTTGTAATCAATGGGCAGTTGTAACCTGTAACACACCTCGTTCAATCTCCTCAGGACTTTAAAAGGCCCCACAAACCGCCGACCCAGCTTCCGGCAGGGCAGGCGGAGGGGCAGATTTCTGGTTGAGAGCCAGACTCGATCTCCAGGTGCGTACACTGGCCCCTCACTGCGGTGGAGGTCGGCGCTCGTCTTCTGTCGACGGACGGCTCGCTGCAGATGGACGTGTGCAGCGTTCCACGTCTCCTCCGAGCGCCGCACCCACTCATCCACCGCAGGGGCCTCGATCTGGCTCTCATGCCAAGGTGCCAGAACCGGCTGGTACCCTAACACACACTGGAAAGGGGTTAGTTTAGTGGAGGAGTGGCGGAGAGAGTTCTGTGCCATCTCGGCCCAGGGCACATATCTCGCCCACTCCTCCGGCCGGCCCTGGCAATATGACCTCAGAAACCTACCCACATCCTGGTTGACATGTTCGACCTGCCCATTACTCTCCGGGTGGTAACCCGAGGTAAGGCTCACCGAAACCCCCAACCGTTCCATAAACGCTCTCCAGACTCTGGAGGTAAACTGGGGGCCTCGATCAGACACTATATCCTCGGGTACCCCGTAATGCCGGAAGACGTGAGTAAATAGAGCCTCAGCGGTCTGTAGGGCAGTAGGAAGACCCGGCATGGGAAGGAGACGACAGGCCTTCGAGAACCGATCCACAACGACCAGGATGGTGGTATTCCCCTGTGAGGAGGGAAGGTCGGTAACAAAATCCACCGAGAGGTGAGACCAGGGTCGTTGTGGAACGGGCAGGGGTTGTAACTTACCCCTGGGCAAGTGTCTGGGCGCCTTACACTGGGCACACACTGAGCAGGAGGAGACATAAATCCTCACATCCCTGGCTAACGTTGGCCACCAGTATTTAGTACTAAGACAGTGCACCGTCCGGCCAATACCTGGATGCCCAGAGGAGGGTGACGTGTGAGCCCAATAAATAAGCCGATCCCGGACCTCGAGCGGGACGTACGTCCGACCCACCGGACACTGTGGAGGGCTAGGGTCGGTGCGTAATGCCCGCTCGATCTCCGCATCGACCTCCCATACCACCGGTGCCACCAGACAAGACTTAGGTAGTATGGGAGTGGGCTCCACGCACCTCTCCTCCGTGTCATACCGCCGAGACAGGGCATCTGCCTTCCCGTTCTGGGACCCAGGGATGTAAGTGATCTTAAACACGAACCGGGCTAGAAACATAGTCCACCGAGCCTGGCGAGGATTCAGTCTCCTAGCTGCCCGAATGTATTCCAGGTTACGGTGGTCAGTCAGAATGAGAAAAGGGTGTTGAGCCCCCTCAAGCCAATGCCTCCACACCTTTAGGGCCTGTACCACGGCTAACAGCTCCCTGTCCCCTACGTCATAATTACGCTCCGCCGGACTGAGCTTTTTCGAATAAAAAGCACAGGGGCGGAGTTTAGGTGGAGTGCCGGACCGTTGTGAGAGAACAGCCCCGATACCGGCTTCAGACGCGTCCACCTCCACTTGGAATGGTAAAGTGGGATCCGGGTGCGCCAGCACTGGAGCCGAGGTAAACAGGTCCTTCAGTCTCCCAAAAGCCCTGTCCGCCTCAGCTGACCACCGCAAGCGCACTGGACCCCCCCTTCAGAAGGGACGTTATGGGAGCTGCCACCTGTCCAAAACCCCGGATAAACCTCCGGTAGTAATTCGCAAAACCCAAGAACTGCTGCACCTCTTTAACCGTGGTTGGGGTTTGCCAATTACGCACGGCTGACACACGGTCAACCTCCATTCTCACCCCTGACGCAGACAACTGATAACCCAAAAAGGAGACCGACTCCTGGAAGAACAGACATTTCTCGGCTTTGACATACAGGTCATGCTCCAACAACCTCCTCAATACTCTGCGCACCAGGGCTACATGTTCGGCCCGGGTAGAACTGTACACCAGAATATCGTCTATGTACACCACTACTCCCTGCCCCTGCATGTCCCGGAAAATCTCATCTACAAAGGATTGGAAGACTGATGGAGCATTCATTAACCCGTATGGCATGACGAGATACTCGTAATGACCGGAGGTAGTACTAAATGCTGTCTTCCATTCATCGCCCTCTCTAATGCGCACCAAGTTATATGCGCTCCTGAGGTCCAATTTTGTGAAGAACCGTGCCCCGTGCAATGACTCCGTCATAGTCGCAATCAGCGGAAGTGGATAACTATATTTTACAGTAACCTGATTTAGACCGCGGTAATCAATACACGGGCGCAAACCTCCATCCGTTTTCTTCACAAAAAAGAAGCTCGAGGACGCGGGTGAAGTGGAGGGCCGTATGTATCCCTGTCTCAGAGACTCGGCAATGTAGGTCTCCATTGCCCTCTTCTCCTCCTGTGACAACGGATACACATGGCTCCGCGGGAGCGCAGCTCCTGCCTGGAGGTCTATCGCACAATCCCCCTGACTATGAGGGGGCAACCTAGCCGCTCTTGTCTTGCTAAACACGAGTGCCAAATCCTCATACTCGGGGGGAATGTGCAATGCGGGCATCTGGTTCGGACTCTCTACCGAGGTCGCCCCTACGGAAACACCCAGACATAGCCCCTCACACTGAGCAGACCACCCTTTAAGAGCCCTCTCTCGCCACGAAATAGTAGGATCATGGGTACTCAACCAGGGAAGCCCCAGTACCACCGGATACGCAGGAGAGTCGATCAGATAGAGCTGAATCGTCTCCTCATGACCCCCCTGCGTCTCCATCCTAAGTGGCGCTGTGACCTCCCTAATCAACCCAGATCCTAACGGACGACTATCTAGGGCATGTACAGGGAAAGGGTTATTTACCGGAAGGAGGGGAATCCCTAACTCTACACAGAATTTGCGATCTACAAAATTCCCAGCTGCGCCTGAATCTACTAGCGCCTTATGCTGGGAACGAGGTGCAACCTGTGGAAAACAAACAGGTATGGTTATGTGTACGACAGAAAGCTCTGGGTAAGTGGGGCGCCTACTCACCTGGGAGGACTCCCCAATGTGTGGCCTGCCCTCTCCTCCACCAGGGGACCCTCCCCAGCACCTAGCCGCGGTGTGCCCTCCACGGCCACAGTTGGTGCAGGGGACGGCCCCCCTCGGGCTCCTTCTTCTCCTTCCTCTAGCGCCAGCACCTCCAAGCTCCATCGGGCTCGGCTCGGAGGTGCTGGAGGGTGGAATGGGCGACCCCCACCTGGAACGCCCGCGGGTAGCGAGCAGGGTGTCCAGCCGAATGGCCATGTCAACCAACTGGTCAAATGAAAGCGTGGTATCCCTGCACGCCAACTCTCTGCGGACGTCCTCCCGGAGGCTGCAGCGGAAGTGGTCTATGAGGGCCCGCTCATTCCACCCTGCATCTGCCGCTAGAGTCCGGAACTCCAGTGCAAACTCCTGAGCGCTCCTCATCCCCTGCCGGAGGTAGAATAGACGCTCCCCCGCCGCCTTCCCCTCTGGTGGATGGTCGAACACTGCACGGAAGCGGCGGGAGAACTCCGCATAGGTGATAGTAGCGGCGTCTATTCTCCTCCATTCGGCGTTGGCCCACTCCAACGCCTTGCCGGTGAGACAAGAGATGAGGGCGGAAACGCTCTCGTGTCCCGAGGGCGCCGGGTGTACGGTGGCGAGATAGAGTTCAACTTGTAACAGGAACCCCTGACACCCGGCAGCGGTGCCGTCGTACGCCCTCGGGAGCGAGAGCCGAATCCCACTGGGTTCTGGAAGTTGGACGGGCGAGCTGACCGATGGTGATGGTGCGGTAGGTGGGGGTGTGGGTACCCCGCTGGTCTCCCAACGATGGAGGGTGTTCATCACTCGGTCCAGGGCGTGCCCGATTTGGTTGATTCTGTCCTCCTGACCGCGAAGGCGCTCCTCCATGATCTCGGGGAGTGCGGGTGCTCCTGCTGATTCCATAGATATGGTGTGTAATTCTGTCAGGGTTGAGTGTAGAGGGAACGTGGAATCACACGCAGGACACAGAGATTCAAAAAACAAATGTTTTTTAGTGAAGTCCGACAGTACAAGCCAACACGGCAACAGGCCACAGGCGAAACAAACGTACACTGGAACAGTCCAAAGTACATACGCACAACGTGCAGGACTCTCTTAAACAAAACGAAATACAGAGAGCATATAGAACAGCGGACCAACATCTACACGTGACATAGAACCAATTACTCCAAAACCACCTGACCAAACACAAGAGAACTAAATGGGTGCATAATGACACTTAATCAATGAAACAGGGTGTGACAAACAGGCAAAACCAATCAAAACATGAAACATCGACGGTGGGCAGCTAGTACTCCGGAGACGACGGACCGCCGAAGCATGACGCCCGAACGAGGAGGAAGGAGCCGCCTCGGCCGAAACCGTGACAATAGAATGTAGTACAACTCTAGACTCTAGTAGAATGTAGTACAACTCTAGACTAGTAGAATGTAGTACAACTCTAGACTCTAGTAGAATGTAGTACAACTCTAGACTCTAGTAGTAGAATGTAGTACAACTCTAGACTAGTAGAATGTAGTACAACTCTAGACTCTAGTAGAATGTAGTACAACTCTAGACTCTAGTAGAATGTAGTACAACTCTAGAAGTCACGATTAGACGAGTGGGAGATATGTAGTCAACTTTAGACTCTAGTATGTAGTACAACTCTAGACTAGTAACGAGTACAACGGTGACTCATAGAATACGTACCACTCGTAGACTGTAGAATCCGTAAGTACAACTCTAGTACTCTGAGTAATGTAGTACACTAGACTCAGTGATGTAGTCAATCTAGATAGTGATGTAGTACACAACTCTAGACTAGTAGAATGTTAGTACAACTCGTAACAGTGAATCGTGTACAACTCAGATTCTAGTAGAATGTAGTACAACTCTAGACTCTAGTAGAATGTAGTACAACTCCTAGACTAGTAGAATCGGGTAGTACAACTCTAGACTCTAGATGAATGTGTACACTAGACTGTAAATGTAGTACAACTCTAGACTAGTAGTGTCAGGGTTGAGTGTAGAGGGAACGTGGAATCACACGCAGGACACAGAGATTCAAAAAACAAATGTTTTTTAGTGAAGTCCGACAGTACAAGCCAACACGGCAACAGGCCACAGGCGAAACAAACGTACACTGGAACAGTCCAAAGTACATACGCACAACGTGCAGGACTCTCTTAAACAAAACGAAATACAGAGAGCATAGAACAGCGGACCAACATCTACACGTGACATAGAACAATTACACACAACACCTGACCAAACACAAGAGAACTAAATAGGGTGCCTAATGAACACTTAACAATGAACAGGTGTGACAAACGGGCAAAACCAATCAAACATGAAACATCGAACGGTGGCAGCTAGTACTCCGGAGACGACGACCGCCGAAGCCTGCCCGAACGAGGAGAAGGAGCCGCCTCGGCCGAAACCGTGACAAGTAGAATGTAGTACAACTCTAGACTCTAGTAGAATGTAGTACAACTCTAGACTAGTAGAATGTAGTACAACTCTAGACACTCTAGTAGAATGTAGTACAACTCTAGACTAGTAGAATGTAGTACAACTCTAGACTCTAGTAGAATGTAGTACAACTCTAGCTCTAGTAGAATGTAGTACAACTCTAGACTCTAGTAGAATGTAGTACAACTCTAGACTCTAGTAGAATGTAGTACAACTCTAGACTCTAGTAGAATGTAGTACAACTCTAGACTAGTAGGTAGTAGTAAACTTTTAGACTCTAGTAGAATGTAGTACAACTCTAGACTAGTAGAATGTAGTACAACTCTAACTTAGTAGAATGTAGTACAACTCTAGACTAGTAGAATGTAGTACAACTCTAGACTAGTAGAATGTAGTACAACTCTAGACTCTAGTAGAATGTAGTACAACTCTAGACCTAGTAGAATGTAGTACAACTCTAGACTAGTAGAATGTAGTACAACTCTAGACTAGTAGAATGTAGTACAACTCTAGACTCTAGTAGAATGTAGTACAACTCTAGGACTCTGTAGAATGGAAGTACAACTCTAGACAAGTAGAATTAATACAACTGCTTTTAGGATCCGAATAAAGCTAGTACAACTCTAGACTCCGTAGAAGTAGTACAACTAGATCCAGTAGATGTAGTACAACTCTAGACTCTAGTAAATGTAGTACAAACTCTAGACATAGAGAATGTACGACAACTCTAGACTCGACTAGTAAAATGACACTACACAAACGCTAAAGACTAGTGGTGACATGTAACTGTGTAAAAACATGTCGAGAGTCACAATGCATAAGATTCTACTGTTATCGTCTCCCATGACACCTCACCGACCAGCGCGTCGATGCCCAAACCCAGCCGACAGTGGTCGAGATTGTCTCCAATAAATCAGTCACCGAATGTAGAATGTCTCCCAAACTCGACGACCAGTGGTCAGAATTGTCCTCCCCATAAGCCAAACCACAGGTCAGATGTTAAACCTCTAGACACAGTGAGTATATCTAGCTTGTCAAATGCACCTATCCTAAATGATACAACTCAAGACCTAAAGGGATAGATTGATTCTAGTCAAGTAGTCACTATAAGGAATAAACCAGACTCTAGTAAAGTAGTACACTCTAACTAGTAGAATGTGTACAAATCTAGACTCTATAGAATGTAGTACACTCTAGACTAGTAAATGTATACAACCTAACCTAGTAGAATGTTACAATCGACTCGGAAATGTAGTAAACTCTAGCTAGTAGTATGTAGTCAACTCAAAAAACCAGTAGAATTTTACAAAACCACTAGTAAAAGTATCACTCTGACTCTGTAGAATTAGTCACTCTAGACTCTAGTAGAATGTATACAATCTAACAGAATTTGTCAAGCTAGACCTCTAGAATGTTAAACCCTTTAAACCCTAGAATGAGTAAACCTAGACCCCTAGAATGTAACAAAATCTAGACTCTAGTAGAAATTTACAAAATCTAGCAGTAGAAGTATACAAACCAAATCGCTATAGAAAAGGTACAACGCTAGACTGTGGTTAACTGCACTGTGTAAAACTGTACAAGTCCAATGCAAGATTCTTCTGTTTTTGTCCCCCCCCATAAACCCCCCGACCAGTCCCAGCACCGACCAGTGGTCAGATTGTCTCCCCATAACCCAGCACCGACCAGTGGTCAGATTGTCTCCCCATAACCCAGCACCGACCAGTGGTCAGATTGTCTCCCCATAACCCAGCACCGACCAGTGGTCAGATTGTCTCCCCATAACCCAGCACCGACCAGTGGTCAGATTGTCTCCCCATAAACCAAGCACCCCCACCGACCAAAATGGTCCAGATTGTCTCGGAGCGTTCGCGTCCCAAATGGCACCCTATTCCCTACATAGTGCATTACATTTGAAAGTAGTGCACTATATAGGGAATAGGGTGCCATTCTCTGGTCTAAAGTAGTGCACTATATAGGGAATAAGGTACCATTCTCTGGTCTAAAGTAGTGCACATATAGGGGAATAGGTGCCATTCTCTGGTCTAAAGTAGTGCACTATATAGGGAATAGGGTGCCATTCTCTGGTCTAAAGTAGTGCACTATATAGGGAATAGGGTGCCATTCTCTGGTCTAAAGTAGTGCACTATGTAGGGAATAGGGTGCCATTCTCTGGTCTAAAGTAGTGCACTATATAGGGAATAGGGTGCCATTCTCTGGTCTAAAGTAGTGCACTATGTAGGGAATAGGGTGCCATTCTCTGGTCTAAAGTAGTGCACTATATAGGGAATAGGGTGCCATTCTCTGGTCTAAAGTAGTGCACTATATAGGGAATAGGGTGCCATTCTCTGGTCTAAAGTAGTGCACTATGTAGGGAATAGGGTGCCATTCTCTGGTCTAAAGTAGTGCACTATATAGGGAATAGGGTGCCATTCTCTGGTCTAAAGTAGTGCACTATGTAGGGAATAGGGGGTTCCATTTGGGATACAACCAGTGTCCCTACTGGCTTCTTTCTAAAGGGTTTTCTCATCAACTAAACCATTCGACTTCTGTTGTTGCTGTACGTTTCTAAAGTACCTCCCCAAATCAATCCAAGGCTGACTTTAGTTACTAAAACTAAACCAATTTAGGGCAAGATTAAACCAATGAATCAAATAAAATATAGTAAAGGTTTAGTGTCAGTTTTTTGAGTTTTTAACTGTCAAATAATTGTTTTGTTTAAAAGAGAAAATACTGTTGGTTTAGTGTCTTCAGATGAGGAGGGAGCATCATCTGCTGTACTGAATACAGACGTCTGGCTGGAGGAGGGATTATCATCTGCTGTACTGAATACAGACGTCTGGCTGGAGGAGGGAGCATCATCTGCTGTACTGAATACAGACGTCTGGCTGGAGGAGGGAGCATCATCTGCTGTACTGAATACAGACGTCTGGCTGGAGGAGGCATCATCATCTGCTGTACTGAATACAGACGTCTGGCTGGAGGAGGGAGCATCATCTGCTGTACTGAATACAGACGTCTGGCTGGAGGAGGGAGCATCATCTGCTGTACTGAATACAGACGTCTGGCTGGAGGAGGGATCATCATCTGCTGTACTGAATACAGACGTCTGAGGAGGGATTATCATCTGCTGTACTGAATACAGACGTCTGGCTGGAGGAGGGAGCATCATCTGCTGTACTGAATACAGACGTCTGGCTGGAGGAGGGAGCATCATCTGCTGTACTGAATACAGACGTCTGAGGAGGGAGCATCATCTGCTGTACTGAATACAGACGTCTGGCTGGAGGAGGGAGCATCATCTGCTGTACTGAATACAGACGTCTGGCTGGAGGAGGGATCATCATCTGCTGTACTGAATACAGACGTCTGAGGAGGGAGCATCATCTGCTGTACTGAATACAGACGTCTGGCTGGAGGAGGGAGCATCATCTGCTGTACTGAATACAGACGTCTGGCTGGAGGAGGGAGCATCATCTGCTGTACTGAATACAGACGTCTGGCTGGAGGAGGGATCATCATCTGCTGTACTGAATACAGACGTCTGAGGAGGGAGCATCATCTGCTGTACTGAATACAGACGTCTGGCTGGAGGAGGGAGCATCATCTGCTGTACTGAATACAGACGTCTGGCTGGAGGAGGGAGCATCATCTGCTGTACTGAATACAGACGTCTGGCTGGAGGGGGGAGCATCATCTGCTGTACTGAATACAGACGTCTGGCTGGAAGGGGAGCATCATCTGCTGTACTGAATACAGACGTCTGGCTGGAGGGGGGAGCATCATCTGCTGTACTGAATACAGACGTCTGGCTGGAGGAGGGAGCATCATCTGCTGTACTGAATACAGACGTCTGGCTGGAGGAGGGAGCATCATCTGCTGTACTGAATACAGACGTCTGAGGAGGGAGCATCATCTGCTGTACTGAATACAGACGTCTGGCTGGAGGAGGGAGCATCATCTGCTGTACTGAATACAGACGTCTGGCTGGAGGAGGGAGCATCATCTGCTGTACTGAATACAGACGTCTGGCTGGAGGAGGGAGCATCATCTGCTGTACTGAATACAGACGTCTGAGGAGGGAGCATCATCTGCTGTACTGAATACAGACGTCTGGCTGGAGGAGGGAGCATCATCTGCTGTACTGAATACAGACGTCTGGCTGGAGGAGGGAGCATCATCTGCTGTACTGAATACAGACGTCTGGCTGGAGGAGGGAGCATCATCTGCTGTACTGAATACAGACGTCTGGCTGGAGGGGGGAGCATCATCTGCTGTACTGAATACAGACGTCTGGCTGGAGGAGGGATCATCATCTGCTGTACTGAATACAGACGTCTGGCTGGAGGAGGGAGCATCATCTGCTGTACTGAATACAGACGTCTGGCTGGAGGAGGGAGCATCATCTGCTGTACTGAATACAGACGTCTGGCTGGAGGAGGGAGCATCATCTGCTGTACTGAATACAGACGTCTGAGGAGGGAGCATCATCTGCTGTACTGAATACAGACGTCTGGCTGGAGGAGGGAGCATCATCTGCTGTACTGAATACAGACGTCTGGCTGGAGGAGGGATCATCATCTGCTGTACTGAATACAGACGTCTGAGGAGGGAGCATCATCTGCTGTACTGAATACAGACGTCTGGCTGGAGGAGGGAGCATCATCTGCTGTACTGAATACAGACGTCTGAGGAGGGAGAATCATCTGCTGTACTGAATACAGACGTCTGGCTGGAGGAGGGAGCATCATCTGCTGTACTGAATACAGACGTCTGGCTGGAGGAGGGATCATCATCTGCTGTACTGAATAAAGACGTCTGGCTGGAGGGGGGGAGCATCATCTGCTGTACTGAATACAGACGTCTGGCTGGAGGGGGGAGCATCATCTGCTGTACTGAATACAGACGTCTGGCTGGAGGAGAGAGCATCATCTGCTGTACTGAATAGAGACGTCTGGGGCTGATGGTCTAATGGTGTAATTGTGTAATGGTGTAATTGTATAATTGTGTAATGGTGTAATATCTGGTCACATAAACATACAGCAACATAATGTTTCTCTAAAGCCATTACTACACCTTACAACCTTACAGTGCTCACCTGACTACCTGGTCAGGTGTTGAAAACAGGACAAACCTTCTGCCTGTACCCCTCAGGGCTCAGCACTTCTAAGAACTACAGTACTACCACAGTACTACTACAGTACTACCACAGTACTATTACAGTACTACCACAGTACTATTACAGTACTACCACAGTACTACCACAGTACTACTACAGTACTACCACAGTACTACCACAGTACTACTACAGTACTACTACAGTACTACCACAGTACTACTACAGTACTACCACAGTACTACCACAGTACTACCACAGTACTACCACAGTACTACTACAGTACTACCACAGTACTACCACAGTACTACTACAGTACTACTACAGTACTACTACAGTACTACCACAGTACTACTACAGTACTACCACAGTACTACCACAGTACTGCCACAGTACTACTACAGTACTACTACAGTACTACCACAGTACTACTACAGTACTACTACAGTACTACTACAGTACTACCACAGTACTACTACAGTACTACTACAGTACTACCACAGTACTACTACTCCGGACTATTGAATTTGGTGATTGATTTTCACCTTATTAGTAATGTGTTGTTATAATGGCTTACCTACAAAGTAGCACTGGACACTGAGTTCCTCACTTCCACCTCTTTACTGCAGAGTAATACAGAGATTCTGAGTGCAGTAATCCACCTCTTTACTGCAGAGTAATACAGAGATTCTGAGTGCAGTAATCCACCTCTTTACCGCAGAGTAATACAGAGATTCTGAGTGCAGTAATCCACCTCTTTACCGCAGAGTAATATAGAGATTCTGAGTGCAGTAATCCACCTCTTTACTGCAGAGTAATACAGAGATTCTGAGTGCAGTAATCCACCTCTTTACTGCAGAGTAATACAGAGATTCTGAGTGCAATAACCCTACAGTGGTAGTGCTCTTTTAGCAGCTTGATGGAGAAAGTCCAGACTAAAGAGTCAGTAATATACAAGTCCATAGACTACAGAGTCTGTACTACAGTTAATTTACAGTAATATACTAATCCATAGACTAAAGAGTCTGTACTGCAGTTAATTTACAGTAATATACTAATCCATAGACTAAAGAGTCTGTACTGCAGTTCATTTACAGTAATATACTAATCCATAGACTAAAGAGTCTGTACTGCAGTTCATTTACAGTAATATACTAATCCATAGACTACAGAGTCTGTACTGCAGTTCATTTACAGTAATATACTAATCCATAGACTAAAGAGTCTGTACTGCAGTTCATTTACAGTAATATACTAATCCATAGACTACAGAGTCTGTACTGCAGTTCATTTACAGTAATATACTAATCCATAGACTACAGAGTCTGTACTGCAGTTCATTTACAGTAATATACTAATCCATAGACTAAAGAGTCTGTACTGCAGTTAATTTACAGTAATATACTAATCCATAGACTAAAGAGTCTGTACTGCAGTTAATTTACAGTAATATACTAATCCATAGACTAAAGAGTCTGTACTGCAGTTCATTTACAGTAATTAACTAATCCATAGATGACAGAGTCTGTACTGCAGTTCATTTACAGTAATATACTAATCCATAGACTACAGAGTCTGTACTGCAGTTCATTTACAGTAATATACTAATCCATAGACTAAAGAGTCTGTACTGCAGTTAATTTACAGTAATATACTAATCCATAGACTAAAGAGTCTGTACTGCAGTTCATTTACAGTAATATACTAATCCATAGACTACAGAGTCTGTACTGCAGTTCATTTACAGTAATATACTAATCCATAGACTAAAGAGTCTGTACTGCAGTTCATTTACAGTAATATACTAATCCATAGACTACAGAGTCTGTACTGCAGTTCATTTACAGTAATATACTAATCCATAGACTACAGAGTCTGTACTGCAGTTAATTTACAGTAATATACTAATCGATAGACTACAGAGTCTGTACTGCAGTGCGTTTGGAAATTGCTCCCAAGGATGAACCAGACTTGTGGAGGTCTACAATTTTTTTCTGAGTTCATGGCTGATTTCTTTTGATTTTCCCATGATGTCAAGCAAAGAGGCACTGAGTTTGAAGGTAGGCCTTGAAATACATCCACAGGTACACCTCCAATTGACTCAAATTATGTCAATTAGCCTATCAGAAGCTTCTAAAGCCATGACATCATTTTCTGGAATTTTCCAAGCTGTTTAAAGCCAAGTCAACTTAGTGTATGTAAACTTCTGACCCACTGGAATTGTGATACAGTAAATTATAAGTGAAATAATCTGTCTGTAAACAATTGTTGGAAAATGTACTTGTGTCATGCACAAAGTAGATGTCCTAACCGACTTGCCAAAACTATAGTTTGTTAACAAGACATTTGTGGAGTGGTTGAAAAATGAGTTTTAATGACTCCAACCTAAGTGTATGTAAACTTCAGACTTCAACTGTATATTGACAATTAGAAGAGGAACACTAACATTAATATAGCATTGTTCCAAGAAACAGAATGCAGAACCATTTGTACAAACTGGCTGCGTTTTCATCAGCCTCAAACCAAACTAATTATGTAATCAAAATGACACATAAGAAACTCAAACTCACCATCTTGGGTAAAGGAGTAGACCAAGAAGGCAGTATCACTTTCCTTAAATGTATCCATAATGGAAAGAAACAGGTCTTTGTTAATGTGTACGCTCCAAATTCATATGATCCTACGTTTTTTGATTCTCTGAACAGCATATTGCTAGAATTAACTGAATTCCATCTGGTTATTGGGACAGACATGCATGCCATCTGTTTATTGGGACAGACATGAATTCCATCTGGTTATTGGGACAGACATGAATTCCATCTGGTTATTGGGACAGACATGAATTCCATCTGGTTATTGGGACAGACACGAATTCCATCTGGTTATTGGGACAGACATGAATTCCATCTGGTTATTGGGACAGACACGAATTCCATCTGGTTATTGGGACAGACACGAATTCCATCTGGTTATTGGGACAGACCGAATTCCATCTGGTTATTGGGACAGACACGAATTCCATCTGGTTATTGGGACAGACATGAATTCCATTTTAGACATGTGGGACAAATCTAATAAGACCAACTACAATCCACAGGCAACCAAGGCTGGCTGCCTGGTGAGCACTTAATCCAAAAGCAAACGAGTACACTTTTTTTCTAAAATTAAGGAAATATAAATTCGACATGAGCTTGACCACCATGAGTCTGATCACCACGCCTACTACTGCCAACTATACATCTTAGAATCTACTACAATAGCCACAAAATGGCATTTCAATGTTTCATTACTACAAAATCCTACATTCTGTGATCAATTGAAATTGAACTAAATGAATTCATAATGATCAATAAAAATTCAGTCGATGACTCCAGGATTCTATGGGATGCCACCAAAAGGTTTTATTAAAAATAATGCAACTGCATCTGGGCTGAATAAATCACAATTAAACAAGATATCAGAATTGGTTTAGCTGCTGTTGTGTCGAGTAAACGTTGCTAATTATGCTGTGAGACCAAGGAGAACCGCTGACGCTGTATTTTCATCATAAAGGTTTATTCATAACAAAGGGTTACAGCGTCGATTTACAGATACCTGCAGATACCTGGAGAATAATCGCCCCATCTCAAATATGATTATTCTGCTCTCCTTTGTCTCAACCAAGTATTTATAATCTTTACCCTGCGGTGGGTGGTTTCCCATACAGACCAATCACCTGTCTCCACACAACAGACTTCCTCTGTTCTATGGGGTGTCCCCACAAAACTACTCCCCAGATGCTCCCTCTAAGCTGAATAATCCATCCAAATGTTCAAAAATGTTCATAAGTGACAAGCTGGTCAAATAATAATCAGGAATAAATCTCAGTTGGCTTTTCATGCCGATCATTAAGAGTTTGAAAACAGCGGGTCTGGGACAGGTAGGGTCCATAACCGCAGGCAGAACAGTTAAAAACTGGAATAGCAGCAAGGGCCCAGCGACTGGGACAGCAAGGAGTTCACCAGGGGCCGGTAGTCCCGACTATGGCCCAGGGCTCAGGTCTCTCAGTTGGCTTTTCATAGCCGATCATAAGAGTTGAAAACAGCAGGTCGGGGACGGTAGGGTTTCGAAACCGCAGGCAGAACAGTTGAAACTGGAATACAGCAAGGCCAGGCGGACTGGGACAGCAAGGTGTCATCATGCCCGGTAGTCCTGACGTATGGCCTAGGGCTCAGGTTCTCAGAGAAAGAGAGAACGAGAGAATTAGAAAAGGCATACTTAAATTCACACGACACTGGATAAACCGGAGAATACTCCAGGTATAACCAACTAACCCCAAAGCCATTCACAAAGGTTGATTTGGGAGAGAAACTGTATGAATACAGCACTAATTTTGCTTTTCCAAAAACAAGGTAATTAGGGGAAGGGTGGTAGGGTTAGCAGAAAATAATGAAGGAAAATATATTTTTGAAAGATATATATACAGTACCAGTCAAAAGTTTGGACACACCTACTCATTCAAGGGTTTTTCTTTATTTTCAACATTGTAGAATAATAGTGAAGACATCAAAACTATGAAATAACACATATGGAATCATGTAGTAACCAAAAAAAGTGTTAAACAAATCCAAATATATTTTAGATTTTAGATTCTTCAAAGTAGCCACCCTTTGCCTTGATGACAGCTTTGCACACTCTTGGCATTCTCTCAACCAGCTTCATGAGGTAGTCACCTGGAATGCATTTCATGTTTTTTTGTATAATTTGTTGTTTGTTTCCCCAAAAGAAATATTTTGCATCTTCAAAGTGGTAGGCATGTTGTGTAAATCAAATGATACAAACCCCCCCAAAAATCTATTTTAATTCCAGGTTGTAAGGCAACAAAATAGGAAAAATGCCAAGGGGGTGAATAATTTCGCAAGCCACTGTATATGCAGATGATACTTGTCATCTCCCGTCTGGATTACTGCAACTCGCTGTTGGCTGGGCTCCCTGCCTGTGCCATTAAACCCCTACAACTCATCCAGAATGCCGCAGCCCGTCTGGTGTTCAACCTTCCCAAGTTCTCTCACGTCACCCCACTCCTCCGCACACTCCACTGGCTTCCAGTTGAAGCTCGCATCTGTTACAAGACCATGGTGCTTGCCTATGGAGCTGTGAGGGGAACGGCACCTCCGTACCTTCAGGCTCTGATCAGTCCCTACACCCAAACGAGGGCAATGCGTTCATCCACCTCTGGCCTGCTGGCTCCCCTTCCTCTGCGGAAGCATAGTTCCCGCTCAGCCCAGTCAAAACTGTTCGCTGCTCTGGCACCCCAATGGTGGAACAAGCTCCCTCACGACGCCAGGACAGCGGAGTCACTCACCACCTTCCGGAGACATTTGAAACCCCACCTCTTTAAGGAATACCTGGGATAGGATAAAGTAATCCTTCTACCCCCCCCCCCCCCCCCCCCCAAAAAAAAAAAAAGTAAAGTGGTTATCCCACTGGCTATAAGGTGAATGCACCAATTTGTAAGTCGCTCTGGATAAGAGCGTCTGCTAAATGACGTAAATGTAAATGTAATACTATTATGTATGCTATTGCCCCGACTGTTGATCTGGCTGTGTCAAAACTACAGTCAGATTTTATAGATATGCAGGAATCCCTTGCTGATTTAAAACTTGCTTAATACAGGCAAAACTAAATACATGTTGTTTTTAAACTCTCATAAGAATGTTTCAGATGAACTACATGTTCACTCATTAGATGGTTCTACAATCGAACGTGTTTCCGCATATAAATGCTTAGGCATTTGGATTGATACGGAGTTGACCTTTAAGAAACACATAGATGAGCTGGTTAAGAAGCTAAGATTTAAAGTTGGCTTTTTCTACAGAAACAGATTATGCCTTTCTCTAAGCAGTAGGAAGCAGATTACTCAGTCAACCTTTTATTTGTTTTACTTCTTTAAAAAATATATATATTCATATATTTTTTACCCCCTTTATCTCCCAATTTTGATCTTGTCGTCTTCATCGCTGCATCTCCCCAACGGGCTCGGGAGAGGCGAAGGTCGAGTCATGCGTCCTCCGAAACATGACCCACCATACCACGCTCGTTAACACCCGCCTGCTTAACTCGGAAGCCAACTGCACCAATGTGTCGGAGGAAACGCCTTTCAACTGATGACCGAAGTCAGCCTGCAGGCACCCGGCCCACCACAAGGAGTCGCTAGAGCGCGATGAGCCAAGTAAAGCCCCTCTGGCCAAACCCTCCCCTAACCCGGACAACGCTGGGCCAATTCTGTGCCGCCCTACGGGACTCCCGATCACGGCCGGTTGTGACACAGCCTGGGATCGAACCCGGGTCTGTAGTGACGCCTCAAGCACTGCGATGCAGTGCCTTAGACGGCTACGCCACTCGGGAGGCCAGTCAACCTTTTAATCTGTTCCTGATTATGGTGATATTATTTATCAAAGTGCAGCTGCTACTCCTCTTAACCCTTTGGATGCCATCTACCATGATTGATTGATGGTATGTGGGTGTCGGGACGTCCTGTATAAACACAAACTCACTTCCTTCACAACAGCTCTGCTCTGCAAAGCGTAAGAAGTACAGTATGAATGCTCTGACTTCTGTGGAGGCCTCATCGCAGTAAATGCTGTACGGCCACTGCAGATGTTAGATTGACCGTGCAGAGCCTTTTACCTTAACCTTGGACAGGCAGTTCGTCAATCTAAGGAAATAACACACATTTCCCGAAAATCTACTGATCACGTCATCTCATTATACCCAGAAGATATTTTACCATATCTAGACAATCTATCTCAATCGCTCCCAAACGCATGGAAGATCATTCAGATAAATTCAGCTTCATCTCAAATTATAAAATTAACCTAACCATATCAGCCGTACTGCCTCTCAAGACCCCGATGGAATCTCAATCGTTTACCATTTTAAATATTTGGGGGTAGATATATTTCCTTCCTTAGATGAAACCGTTGCCAGAAACTTTAACAGAACGCTCAAATCAATTAAATCCTACCTCAGTAGATGGACTAACATCCCGGTTGCTTTAAACAGCAGAATATTTGTCAAAATAAATATATTGCCATGGCTGAATTTCTGTAATTCAATGATTCCCATGTCTCCCCTTTCTGGCTATTGGGGCTAGAGAACACTTCTCCAGAGCGCCAGCGGCCATTTGCCCACGGAAGTCGGTTTTGCCGAACTGCAGTCAGGTCAAGACCCAGGTGAGGACCACGAGCACGCAGATGAGAACACACTCACACTGACATCACCACACACGACATACGCCCACAGACACAGTATGCGCACACATGCATACTGACGCCCAACACACACACACACAAGCTGCTGCTACTGTCTATTATCTATCCTGTTGCCTAATCATTTTACCCCAACCACTCTACCATAAAGGCCTGATTGGTGGAGTGCTGCAGAGATGGTTGTCCTTCTGGAAGGTTCTCCCATCTCCACAGAGGAACTCTGGAGCTCTGTCAGTGTGGCCATCGGGTTCTTGGTCACCTCCCTGACCAAGGCCCTTCTCCCCTGATTGCTCAGTTTGGCTGGGTGGCCAGCTCTAGGAAGAGTCTTGGTGGTTCCACACTTCTTCCATTGAATAATTATGGAGGCCACTGTGTTCTTGGGGACCTTCAATGCTGCATACATTTTTTGGTACCCTTCCCCAGATATGTACCGCACCACAGTCCTGTCTCGGAGCTACGGACAATTCCTTCGACCTCATGGCTTGGTTTTTGCTCTGACATGCACTGTCAACTGTGGGACCTTATATAGACAGGTGTGTGCCTTTCCAAATCATGTCCAATCAATTGAATATACCACAGGTGGACTCCAATCAAGTTGTAGAAACATCTCAAGGATGATCAATGGAAACAGGATGCACTTGAGCTCAATTTCGAGTCTCATAGCAAAGGGACTGAATACTTATGTAGAAATATAACAGGATATAATAAGAACTACATGAAATATGTCTCTCTGCCGATAGGAATGTAAAATGATATAATAGGGACTACATATCTCTCCACTTATATAAATATTACTGCAGATAATAAGGACTACATGTCTCTCTGCTGACAGGAATATAACAGGAGATAATAAGGACTACATGTCTCTCTGCTGACAGGAATATAACAGGAGATAATAAGGACTACATGTCTCCAGGAGATAATAAGGACTACATTAAATATCTCTCTGCTGACAGGAATTTAACAGCTGGCCGACTGAAGAGGACAATCTGATAACTAAAGACAATTCATTTTCTGAACTTGTAACAGGAGTGGGGCGGCTGTCTGACAAAGAGCAGCTGCTCTCGACAGCTCTACCAGCCCCACCTTTAAAACCTCCGCCATGGCCAGTTAACACTGGATCGGATTGAATTTAGGCCTCATGTTCTTTAAGGTAATTCACAGTGATATTTGTTTGTGTTCCGGTGGATTTTGCTGAATAATGTATTCATGTGTAAATTTGATATTTTGTTTAAAGAATTTATTAAAGAAATCTAAGTACTGTTCAGCAAGCCAGTAGCAGTGGGACAGTAGTGGGTCAGTTATAAAACTGCTTCAAATCTTATAAAGAAAAATACAAAAAACTATTTTTATTAGCTTGAGGAAATGTTACGTAGACGTACAGACGTAAGTTCAGACAAAACATTTAAACCAAGTTGACAAAGCAAAGCCGAACAGAACCCACTTTGACGTATTGCTCCAATGTCGCATTTCTTCACGATTAACAATTTCAGCGATGCATCTATCCCCATCAACAAACCACCTCAACCATTGTTCAGTCACTGGGTTCAGTACCTGTTTAGTGATCGTCCACATGTAGTGACTATCTAGACAGAGAGCGCTCCAGTAATGTACAGGTTAAAGCCCTTTATCGACTTCCCCACAGTCAGATAAAAATGGTCTCCAGGGGTCCATGTCTTTGTGTGCAGTTTGAAGGAAGTTGCTAACTAGAGTGAGCACAATGGGACAGGAAGTACGGTGCCTTGGGAAAGAATTCAGACCCCATGACTTTTTCCACATTTTGTTACGTTACAATCTACAATCTACACACAATACCCCATAATGACAAAGCGGAAACAGGTTTTTAGAATGTTTTGCAAATTTATTAAAAATAAAAACCAGAAATACCTTATTTACATAAGTATTCAGACCCTTTGCTATGAGACTCGAAATTGAGCTCAGGTGTATCCTGTTCCCATTGATCATCCTTGAGATGTTTCTAGAACTTGATTGGAGTTCACCTGTGGTAAATTCAATTGATTGGACATGATTTGGAAAGGCACACACCCGTCTATATAAAGGTGCCACAGTTGACAGTGCATGTCAGAGCAAAAACCAAGCCATGAGGTCGAAGGAATTGTCCGTAGAGCTCCGAGACAGGATTGCGTCGAGGCACAGATCTGGGGAAGTATACCAAAACATTTCTGCCGCATTGAAGGTCCCCAAGAACACAGTGGCCTCCATCATTCTTAAATGGAAGAAGTTTGGAACCACCAAGACTCTTCCTAGAGCTGGCCGCCCGGCCAAACTGAGCAATCGGGGGAGAAGGGCCTTGGTCAGGGAGGTGACCAAGAACCCGATGGTCACTCTGACAGAGCTCCAGAGTTCCTCTGTGGAGATGGGAGAACCTTCCAGAAGGACAACCATCTCTGCAGCACTCTACCAATCAGGCCTTTATGGTAGAGTGGCCAGACGGAAGCCACTCCTGAAGCATGGTGGTGGCAGCATCATGCTGTGGGGGTGTTTTTCAACTGCATGGACTGGGAGACTAGTCAGGATCGAGGCAAATATGAACGGAGCAAAGTACAGAGAGATCCTTAATGAAAACCTGCTCCAGAGCGCTCAGGACCTTAGACTGGGGCAAAGGTTCACCTTCCAACAGGACAACGACCCTAAGCACACAACCAACACAACGCAGGAGTGGCTTCGGGACAAGTCTCTGAATGTCCTTGAGTGGCCCAGCCAGAGCCCGGACTTGAACCCGATCGAACATCTCTGGAGACCTGAAAATAGCTGTGCAGCAACGTTCCCCATCCAATCTGACAGAGCTTGAGAGGATCTGCAGAGAAGAATGGGAGAAACTCCCCAAATACAGGTGTGCCGAGCTTGTAGCGTCATACCCAAGAAGACTCAAGGCTGTAATCGCTGCCAAAGGTGCTTCAACAAAGTACTGAGTAAAGGGTCTGAATACTTATGTAAATGTGATATTTCAGTTTTTATTTTTTTATAAATTTGCAAACATTTCTAAAAACCTGTTTCCGCTTTGTCATCATGGGGTATTGTGTGTAGATTGAGGAAAAACAACAATTTAATCCATTTTAGAATAAGGCTGTAACGTAACAAAATGTGGAAAAAGTCAAGGGGTCTGAATACTTTCCGAATGACCTGTACATGGTATCAGCTAGCATTACCTCCAACTTCCTTCATACTGGATGCAGACATAAACATTGTATCCACAAGTTCATCTGACTCTGGGGAAGTCAATAATCCCACAGTATCCCTTTGACTCCAGGTGGCAGAGTGATGGACCGTTGGTCACGTTCTCCTTCGTCCTCCAGTCTCCCTTTGACTCCAGGTGGCAGAGTGATGGACCGTTGGTCACGTTCTCCTTCGTCCTCCAGTCTTCTACCTCACATCATGTCCAGCTGCAGAGAGGAGAAGAACCACGGTCACAGATTCAGCTGTTCATCTTGTTGGCCTATACATGTGTTGCCGACAACCCCCACTCACACACTTTCTCCCTGTAAACGTACACACACACAAAAGGTTAAATGAAGTCTTAGTTAACACTCACCAAGTCGTCCACATCTCCAGTATCGTCCACCACAGGCGCTTCGACCATCTCTTTCTTCAGATCGGCAGTCAGGAACTGAGGACAGAGTCAGGCTTCGATCAGGAGTTCGGACTGTACAACTCCTCCTCACTCATATTACAACCACTCATTTATACTGAACACAAATATAAAACGCAACAATTAAAAATATTTTACTGTTACAGTTCATATGAGGAAATCAGTCAATTGAAATAAATTCATTAGGCCCTAATCTATGGATTTCACATGACTGGGCAGGGGAGCAGCCATGGGTGGGCCTGGGAGGGCATAGGCCCACCCACTGGGGAACCAGGCCCACCCACTGGGGAACCAGGCCCACCCACTGGGGAACCAGGCCCACCCACTGGGGAACCAGGCCCACCCACTGGGGAACCAGGCCCACCCACTGGGGAACCAGGCCCACCCACTGGGGAGCCAGGACCACCCACTGGGGAGCCAGGACCAGCCAATCAGAATGAGTAGTTTTGTGGGCCTGTTTACTTCAATGAACCATTCTAATGCCTGGTCACACAGAAGATAGGTAGTTCGCTGGTAGGTAGTTAGCTGGTAGGTAGTTAGCTGGTAGGTAGTTAGCTGGTTCTCCTATACCTGCTTGGCATCGTGAATGGAGAACGTGCTTCCTTCAACTTCCTCCTTGTTGATGAGAGTCAAGGTATCTGTTAATCAACACCACAATGAATAAGCTGCTCACAAAATGCTGCTTTAATAAAGAGAGTTAAGATAAGGCCTGCTATCGTACCTTGGACTAGCATATCCCAGAACTCCTGAAGGCCTCTAACAGGAATACTCTTCTTCAGAGACTGGATGTAGCTGTTGTAGTGATCAGCATTACCAACCTACAGGAGAGGGAGTTACAATAGGAGATCAGCAACTTATTCAAGTAGTTAAACATACACTGTAACTGACATGTAAACCCAGATTGGTGTTATATTGGACGGTCACCTGAACAGACTGCTCTCTGAAGGTCTGGATACAGGGGATGCACTTCATGTAGTAGATCATGTTCTTGTTGCCAAGCAACTGCTCTATCCTACCAGTCAGCTGTTGACACACTGTGGAGGACACATTCAGACATGGGGTCATGACGGGGTCAGGACGGGGTCATGACAGGTCAAACACTAGCCAGAGGGGTCTCCTACCAAGCAAGCTAGATCTAGCAGGCTTGTAACTGTGCATGCATGTCACATGTCTAGTCTAACACCTAACTCTTCATTGAGACAATGCTGAAACATCAATCCATGCCAGTGCAACATCTTCATTTGTGCCGAAATCAAAATGAAGGAAAAAATATCAGCAGGCTACGGTGTGAAATAGTATTTTAGAAGTGGCACCTTTACCGTATTACTTCTCCTTAATGATGTCTTTCGTGTGCTGATCAATGCAGGAGGACCTTTTTCCCACTCACATCCATAAAATACAGTGGGGGAAAAAAGTATTTAGTCAGCCACCAATTGTGCAAGTTCTCCCACTTAAAAAGATGAGAGGCCTGTAATTTTCATCATAGGTACACGTCAACTATGACAGACAAAATGAGAGAAAAAAATCCAGAAAATCACATTGTAGGATTTTTTATGAATTTATTTGCAAATTATGGTGGAAAATAAGTATTTGGTCACCTACAAACAACCAAGATTTCTGGCTCTCACAGACCTGTAACTTCTTCTTTAAGAGGCTCCTCTGTCCTCCACTCGTTACCTGTATTAATGGCACCTGTTTGAACTTGTTATCAGTATAAAAGACACCTGTCCACAACCTCAAACAGTCACACTCCAAACTCCACTATGGCCAAGACCAAAGAGCTGTCAAAGGACACCAGAAACAAAATTGTAGACCTGCACCAGGCTGGAAAGACTGAATCTGCAATAGGTAAGCAGCTGGTTTGAAGAAATCAACTGTGGGAGCAATTATTAGGAAATGGAAGACATACAAGACCACTGATAATCTCCCTCGATCTGGGGCTCCACGCAAGATCTCACCCCGTGGGGTCAAAATGATCACAAGAACGGTGAGCAAAAATCCCAGAACCACACGGGGGGACCTAGTGAATGACCTGCAGAGAGCTGGGACCAAAGTAACAAAGCCTACCATCAGTAACACACTACGCCGCCAGGGACTCAAATCCTGCAGTGCCAGACGTGTCCCCCTGCTTAAGCCAGTACATGTCCAGGCCCATCTGAAGTTTGCTAGAGTGCATTTGGATGATCCAGAAGAGGATTGGGAGAATGTCATATGGTCAGATGAAACCAAAATAGAACTTTTTGGTAAAAACTCAACTCGTCGTGTTTGGAGGACAAAGAATGCTGAGTTGCATCCAAAGAACACCATACCTACTGTGAAGCATGGGGGTGGAAACATCATGCTTTGGGGCTGTTTTTCTGCAAAGGGACCAGGACGACTGATCCGTGTAAAGGAAAGAATGAATGGGGCCATGTATCGAGAGATTTTGAGTGAAAACCTCCTTCCATCAGCAAGGGCATTGAAGATGAAACGTGGCTGGGTCTTTCAGCATGACAATGATCCCAAACACACCGCACGGGCAACGAAGGAGTGGCTTCGTAAGAAGCATTTCAAGGTCCTGGAGTGGCCTAGCCAGTCTCCAGATCTCAACCCCATAGAAAATCTTTGGAGGGAGTTGAAAGTCCATGTTGCCCAGCGACAGCCTCAAAACATCACTGCTCTAGAGGAGATCTGCATGGAGGAATGGGCCAAAATACCAGCAACAGTGTGTGAAAACCTTGTGAAGACTTACAGAAAACGTTTGACCTGTGTCATTGCCAACAAAGGGTATATAACAAAGTATTGAGAAACTTTTGTTATTGACCAAATACTTATTTTCCACCATAATTTGCAAATAAATTCATTAAAAATCCTACAATGTGATTTTCTGGGAAAAAAATTCTCATTTTGTCTGTCATAGTTGACGTGTACCTATGATGAAAATTACAGGCCTCTCTCATCTTTTTAAGTGGGAGAACTTGCACAATTGGTGGCTGACTAAATACTTTTTTCCCCCCACTGTATTTATCATAATTGTATTGATCATACAAAAGTTTTACTGTGTGTTAAGTTTCAAATGTGTTCTGTCATTAAATGTAAAATGTCATTGCTAAATAATGTGATATGTATTTTAACAAAAAAAAGTTTCTTTCTCAAATGAAGGGGATGATGACGCAATCTTTGTGAGAGGGAAGAAATCTGATTTCATTGGTCCTCAACTCATGGCTCAGACACTTCATTCAGGATAAATGTAGTTAGCCCTGAGTTAGCCTGCCCCGGAGCAGGTTAGTTCTGAAGGATTCGTTGCCATAGAAATGTACCTGACTAAAAGGTGAGTCACATTCGTATGACTGGTTATCCCGAGTTGAACAAAGTTACCTCGCTAACTCCTCAAACCTGATTCGTAGGATACCCCTCATGTCCCAGATCCGTTTGTGCCATCTTGCCAATGACCATAAGAGCTGTCAAGACCGTACAAGCAGATCTGGGACAAGGCTAAGACTGTGGGCCGTGAGACATGTCAGAGAAGGAGAGAGTAGAACCAGCCAATCATCATCTCACCCTCTCCAAACGGAAGACGCTTCTGGCGAATCAGAGTGCGGAAATCCCGTGCTGGATCTACACTGCCCACCTGGTAGAGGAACACAGGTAAATATTTGGATTTCAAGTTATTTTTTTCATTTCACTTCACCAATTTTGACTACACAAAATAGTCAAAATTGGTGAAGTGAAATGAAAAAAATTACTTGTTTCAAAAAAATAAATAACGGAAAAGTGTTGCGTGCATATGTATTCACCCCCTTTGCTATGAAGCCCCTAAATAAGATCTGGTGCAACCAATTACCTTCAGAAGTCACATAATTAGTTAAATAAAGTCCAACTGTGTGCAATCTAAGTGTCACTTGATCTGTCACATGATCTCAGTATACATATACCAGTTCTGAAAGGCCCCAGAGTCTGCAACACCACTAAGCAAGGGGCACCATAGTTACGCTCAACTTCTCTGTTTGTTTATCTTATTTCTTGTTTGTTTCACAAGAAAATATATTTTGCATCTTCAAAGTGGTAGGCATGTTGTGTAAATCAAATCATACAAACCCCCAAAAAATCCATTTTAATTCCAGGTTGTAAGGCAACAAAATTGGAAAAATGCCAAGGGGGGTGAATACTTTTGCAAGCGACTATGTATGTATATGTTTATATATAGTGATAGTGTACTTCTCAGGGAATTTCAATAATACCAGATCCCATGTTAAGTCCTCTGGCCTTCTCTCACCTGTGTGATGTTTCCCTCTGTGATGTCAGCCAGGTTAAAGTCTTCCTCCTCGTCCACTTTGGCCTTCTTGGCATCAGGCTCGTCAGTGCTGCAGAGGATGAAGAGGGTCAGTTATATGGGGATATTCTCAACTGGTTTTGCTTGACTCCTCGCGCCCTCCGTCCTCTACACCTTTTGAAAAAGGTCAAAGGTAACCGAGGAGAAGAAACAAATGGGCTTGTATGAATCCAGACTCCTCCTCCACTAACGCGTCACGGGGCAAACGACGTTTACAGAGGAGGAATCCTAAAATACATGTGTAAAGACGTACAAATAAAAGTAGCTAGTTGTGTTAGCCATTTTCTATATAAAAGTAGCGTATGGTTTTTAAACGTGAGCATGCTTTTCTAAGGGGGTGTGGCGGATTTTATAAACATTTCCGCGTTAGCTGCCGGGAGGATACACCCGGAGGCGATTGGTGAGACCAAACTCCTCCATTCTATTAACAAACGGACTCCCATTTGGTGACCACTTATCGGTTTAAGGACAACGGAGGACAGACTCGTTAAGGAGGACAGACTTTTGCCCAATACTGAATCTCCCATGGAGTGTTCTACACAACTGGAAATTGTCATCCATATTATCAACATAATGTTTTCAGCCCTGTGGTAAAGAAAGGTTCTAAACTACTTCTTTCCTCTCTCTATCTGAAACAAAGCATAAATGAGGTGACAAACTAGTAGCTATGAGATTTTAATCCCATTCCTACTCGTTCCCAAACAGCTCGTCTGTAGACCTACCCGTTCCCAAACAGCTCGTCTGTAGACCTACCCGTTCCCAAACAGCTAGTGATGTAGACCTACCCGTTCCCAAACAGCTAGTGATGTAGACCTACCCGTTCCCAAACAGCTCGTCTGTAGACCTACCCGTTCCCAAACAGCTCGTCTGTAGACCTAACCGTTCCCAAACAGCTAGTGATGTAGACCTACCCGTTCCCAAACAGCTAGTGATGTAGACCTACCCGTTCCCAAACAGCTCGTCTGTAGACCTAACCGTTCCCAAACAGCTAGTGATGTAGACCTACCCGTTCCCAAACAGCTAGTGATGTAGACCTACCCGTTCCCAACAGCTCGTCTGTAGACCTACCCGTCCCAAACAGCTAGTTAAGTAGACTACCGTTCCCAAACAGCTAGTGATGTAGACCTACCTTCCCAACAGTAGTGATGTAGACCTACCCATCCAAACAGCTAGTCTGTAGACCTACCCGTTCCCAAACAGCTAGTCTGTAGACCTACCCGTTCCCAAACAGCTAGTGATGTAGACCTACCCGTTCCCAAACAGCTCGTCTGTAGACCTACCTCTTCCCAAACAGCTAGTCTGTAGACCTACCCGTTCCCAAACAGCTAGTGATGTAGACCTACCCGTTCCCAAACAGCTAGTCTGTAGACCTACCCGTTCCCAAACAGCTAGTGATGTAGACCTACCCGTTCCCAAACAGCTAGTGATGTAGACCTACCCGTTCCCAAACAGCTCGTCTGTAGACCTACCTCTTCCCAAACAGCTAGTCTGTAGACCTACCCGTTCCCAAACAGCTAGTGATGTAGACCTACCCGTTCCCAAACAGCTAGTGATGTAGACCTACCCGTTCCCAAACAGCTAGTGATGTAGACCTACCCGTTCCCAAACAGCTAGTGTGTAGACCTACCCGTTCCTAAACAGCTCGTCTGTAGACCTACCATCTCCCAAACAGCTAGTCTGTAGACCTACCTCTTCCCAAACAGCTAGTCTGTAGACCTACCCGTTCCCAAACAGCTAGTGATGTAGACCTACCCGTTCCCAAACAGCTAGTCTGTAGACCTACCCGTTCCCAAACAGCTAGTGATGTAGACCTACCCGTTCCCAAACAGCTAGTGATGTAGACCTACCCCGTTCCCAAACAGCTCGTCTGTAGACCTACCGTTCCCAAACAGTAGCTAGTGATGAAAAGATAGCCGTTTCCCAAACGGAGCTGCTGGGTTGGTATAACTCCCGTTACCCAAACACAGATGTGAGACCTCCCCATTTATAACAAACGACTCCATTGGTGACCACTTTCGTTTAAAGCAGGAGGACCAGACCGTTCAAGGTGGACACCTGTTTGCCCACATACTGAGATACTCCCATGGAGTGTCTAGACACACACGTTAAAGTTGTCAGCCATATATCAACATAATGTTTTCAGTCCACTGTGGTAGAAAGGTTCAAACTACTTCTTAGCCTCTCTCTTCTGAAACAAGCATGTAACTGAGCCGTGTCAAACAGTAGCTGTAGATTTTATCCCACATTCTTAACTCGTTCCCAAACAGCTCGTCTGTAGACCTACCCGTTCCCAAACAGCTCGTCTGTAAGACCTACCCGTTCCCAAACAGCTAGTGTGTAGACCTACCCGTTCCCAAACAGCTAGTGATGTAGACCTACCCGTTCCCAAACAGCTCGTCTGTAGACCTACCCGTTCCCAAACAGCTCGTCTGTAGACCTAACCGTTCCCAAACAGCTAGTATGTAGACCTACCCGTTCCCAAACAGCTAGTGATGTAGACCTACCCGTTCCCAAACAGCTCGTCTGTAGACCTAACCGTTCCCAAACAGCTAGTGATGTAGACCTACCCGTTCCCAAACAGCTAGTGATGTAGACCTACCCGTTCCCAAACAGCTCGTCTGTAGACCTACCCGTTCCCAAACAGCTAGTTAAGTAGACCTACCCGTTCCCAAACAGCTAGTGATGTAGACCTACCTGTTCCCAAACAGCTAGTGATGTAGACCTACCCATTCCCAAACAGCTAGTCTGTAGACCTACCCGTTCCCAAACAGCTAGTCTGTAGACCTACCCGTTCCCAAACAGCTAGTGATGTAGACCTACCCGTTCCCAAACAGCTAGTCTGTAGACCTACCTGTTCCCAAACAGCTAGTGATGTAGACCTACCCATTCCCAAACAGCTAGTCTGTAGACCTACCCGTTCCCAAACAGCTAGTCTGTAGACCTACCCGTTCCCAAACAGCTAGTGATGTAGCTACCTACCCGTTCCCAAACAGCTGTCTGTAGACCTACCCTTCCCAAACAGCTAGTATGTAGACCTACCCGTTCCCAAACAGCTAGTATGTAGACCTACCCGTTCCCAAACAGCTAGTGATGTAGACCTACCCGTTCCCAAACAGCTAGTGATGTAGACCTACCCGTTCCCAAACAGCTCGTCTGTAGACCTACCCGTTCCCAAACAGCTAGTCTGTAGACCTACCCGTTCCCAAACAGCTGTCTGTAGACCTACCCGTTCCCAAACAGCTTGTCTGTAGACCTACCCGTTCCCAAACAGCTCGTCTGTAGACCTACCTCTTCCCAAACAGCTAGTCTGTAGACCTACCCGTTCCCAAACAGCTAGTGATGTAGACCTACCCGTTCCCAAACAGCTAGTGATGTAGACCTACCCGTTCCCAAACAGCTAGTGATGTAGACCTACCCGTTCCTAAACAGCTCGTCTGTAGACCTACCTCTTCCCAAACAGCTAGTCTGTAGACCTACCTCTTCCCAAACAGCTAGTCTGTAGACCTACCCGTTCCCAAACAGCTAGTGATGTAGACCTACCCGTTCCCAAACAGCTAGTCTGTAGACCTACCCGTTCCCAAACAGCTAGTCTGTAGACCTACCCGTTCCCAAACAGCTTGTCTGTAGACCTACCCGTTCCCAAACAGCTTGTCTGTAGACCTACCCATTCCCAAACAGCTCGTCTGTAGACCTACCTCTTCCCAAACAGCTAGTCTGTAGACCTACCCGTTCCCAAACAGCTAGTGATGTAGACCTACCCGTTCCCAAACAGCTAGTGATGTAGACCTACCCGTTCCCAAACAGCTAGTGATGTAGACCTAACCCGTTCCTAAAACAGCTCGTCTGTAGACCTACCTCTTCCCAAACAGCTAGTCTGTAGACCTACCTCTTCCCAAACAGCTAGTGATGTAGACCTACCCGTTCCCCAAACAGCTAGTTGGTAGACCTACCCGTTTCCCAAACAGCTAGTGATGTAGACCTACCCGTTCCCAAACAGCTAGTGATGTAGACCTACCCGTTCCCAAACAGCTCGTCTGTAGACCTACACCGTTCCCAAACAGCTAGTGATGTAGGACCTACCGTTTCCCACAAACATGGCTCGTCTGTAGACCTACCCGTTCCCAAAAACAGCTAGTGATGCAGACCTACCCGTTCCCAAACAGCTAGGTGTAGACCTACCCGTTCCCAAACAGCTAGTGATGTAGACCTACCCGTTCCCAAACAGCTTCGTCTGTAGACCCACCTGTTCCCAAACAGCTAGTCTGTAGACCTAACCCGTTCCCAAACAGCTAGTATGTAGACCTACCCGTTCCCAAACAGCTTGTCTGTAGACCTACCCGTTCCCAAACAGCTTGTCTGTAGACCTACCCGTTCCCAAACAGCTAGTCTGTAGACCTACCCGTTCCCAAACAGCTAGTGATGTAGACCCACCTCTTCCCAAACAGCTTGTCTGTAGACCTACCCGTTCCCAAAAAGCTAGTCTGTAGACCTACCCGTTCCCAAACAGCTAGTCTGTAGACCTACCCGTTCCCAAACAGCTCGTCTGCAGACCTACCCGTTCCCAAACAGCTAGTCTGTAAACCTACCCGTTCCCAAACAGCTAGTCTGTAAACCTACCCGTTCCCAAACAGCTAGTTGGTAAACCTACCCGTTCCCAAACAGCTAGTCTGTAGACCTACCCGTTCCCAAACAGCTCGTCTGTAGACCTACCCGTTCCCAAACAGCTAGTCTGTAGACCTACCCGTTCCCAAACAGCTAGTCTGTAGACCTACCCGTTCCCAAACAGCTAGTCTGTAGACCTACCCGTTCCCAACAGCTAATTGTAGACCTACCCGTTCCCAAACAGCTAGTATGTAGACCTAACCGTTCCCAAACAGCTAGTCTGTAGACCTACCCGTTCCCAAACAGCTAGTCTGTAGACCTACCTCTTCCCAAACAGCTAGTCTGTAGACCTACCCGTTCCCAAACAGCTAGTGATGTAGACCTACCCGTTCCCAAACAGCTAGTCTGTAGACCTACCGTTCCCAAACAGCTAGTGATGTAGACCTACCCGTTCCCAAACAGCTAGTGATGTAGACCTACCCGTTCCCAAACAGCTCGTCTGTAGACCTACCCGTTCCCAAACAGCTAGTGATGTAGACCTACCCGTTCCCAAACAGCTCGTCTGTAGACCCTACCCGTTCCCAAACAGTAGTGATGTAGACCTAACCCGTTCCCAAACAGCTAGTGATGTAGACCTACCACGTTTCCCAAACAGCTAGTGATGTGACCTACCCGTTACCAAACAGCTCGTTCTGTAGACCCACCCGTTCCCAAACAGCTAGTCTGTGACCTACCCGTTCCCAAAACAGCTCGTGATGTAGACCTACACCGTTCCCAAACAGCTAGTGATGTAGACTCTACCCGTTCCCAAACAGCTAGTGATGTAGACCTACCCGTTCCCAAACAGCTCGCGTAGACCCACCCGTTCACAAACAGTAGTCTGTAGACCTACCCCGTCCCAAACACGCTTAGTTGATGTGACCTACCCGTCCCAACAGCTAGTGATGTAGACCTACCCCGTTCCCAAACAGCTAGTACTGTAGACCTACCGTTCCCAAACAGCTAGTCTGTAGACCTACCCGTTCCCAAAACAGCTTAGTCTGTAGACCTACCCGTTCCCAAACAGCTAATCTGTAGACCTACCCGTTCCCAAACAGCTAGTCTGTAGACCTACCCGTTCCCAAACAGCTAGTCTGTAGACCTACCCGTTCCCAAACAGCTAGTCTGTAGACCTACCCGTTCCCAAACAGCTCGTCTGTAGACCTACCCGTTCCCAAACAGCTAGTCTGTAGACCTACCCGTTCCCAAACAGCTAGTCTGTAGACCTACCCGTTCCCAAACAGCTAGTCTGTAGACCTACCTCTTCCCAAACAGCTCCTTGCTGGTCTTCATTTCCTTCTTCTTGACCACCTCCTTCAGAGGGAACTTCTTCTTCAGTGTCTCCAGGGGGCTGTGACAGCGGGTGGCCACCGCCAGGGGGCGCTGGAGAGCTGCAGTCAGCCAGGGGTCCATGGGGGGGAGGGGGGCACTGGGGTTCACCACCCGATAGTGCAGGCACTGGTAGTGGGAGAGGAGGAGGGGGGGGGGGGGATATGAGGGAAAATTAACATGTAGAAAAGTAATGAAAGGAATAGTAGAATGAGAACGTTACATGGAGAAATAACATGACAATAGAGAATGAGCCTTAACTGGAACAGTCTCTGGTACTGGGGGTTGGGGACGGGGTAACTACCTGGAACAGTCTCTGGTACTGGGGGTTGGGGAAACTACCTGGAACAGTCTCTGGTACTGGGGGTTGGGGATGTGGTGACTACCTGGAACAGTCTCTGGTACTGGGGGTTGGGGGTTGGGGAAACTACCTGGAACAGTCTCTGGTACTGGGGGTTGGGGACGTGGTGACTACCTGGAACAGTCTCTGGTACTGGGGGTTGGGGACGGGGTGACTACCTGGAACTGTCTCTGGTACTGGGGTTTTGGGGCCCGGGGAAACTACCGGGAACAGTCCCCTGGTACGGGGGGGTTGGGGACGGGGTAACTACCTGGCAGCCCTCGGGTTTTGGGGGGGTTGGGGGGACTTTGGTTCTCCCCGGGGACGCTTTTCTGGAAACGGGGGTTTTTGGGGACGGGGTAACACCTGGAACTCTCGGGTACTGGGGGTTGGGACGGGGTGACTACCTGGAAAAAGCCCCTTTTTGGTACTGGGGTTGGGGGTGTGGTAACTCCCCCTGGAACACTCTGGTGGGGGGGGTTGGGGACGTGGTTACACCGGAAACAGTCTCTGGTACGGGGGTTTTGGGGACGGGGTAACTACCGGGAAAAGTCTCTGGAAACGGGGGTTTTGGGGACGGGGTTTACTCCCTGGAACAGTCTCTGGTACGGGGGTTTTTGGGGAGGGGGTTCCTACCGGGAACCATTCCTGGTATTTGGGGGTTTTGGGGGTGTGGAAAACTACCGGGAACAGTCTTTTGGTACTGGGGGTTGGGGCCGTGGTGAAAAAACCGGGAAACCCCTCGGGAACGGGGGGTTTGGGACGTGGGGGACTCCCCTGGAACAGTCTCGGGTACTGGGGGTTGGGGAGGGGTTTAAATACCTTTAAACATTCTCTGGTATTTGGGGGTTTTTGGGTGGGGGGGTTGACAACCCGGGAACGTCTCGGGTTACGGGGGGTTTGGGGGAGGGTGGTAACTACCTGGAACAGTCCCCGGGTCTGGGGGTTGGGGAGGGGGGGTGCAAAACCTGGAACAGTCTCTGGTACGGGGTTTTTGGGGGTGTGGAAACTACCTGAACCCCCCTCTGGTACGGGGGGTTGGGGATGGGGGTGACTCCCTGGAACATTCTCGGGTATTTGGGGGTTGGGGAGGGGGTGACAAACTGGAACATCTTTTGGTACGGGGGGGTTGGGGACGGGGTAACTCCCTTTAAACAGTCTTTTTGGTACTGGGGGTTGGGGAGGGGGTTAATTTACCGGGAACGCCCTTTTGGTACTGGGGGTTGGGGGTGGGGAAACTACCGGGAAAACATTCCCTGGTCGGGGGGTTGGGGACGTGGTGACTACCGGGAAAACAGTTTTTCCTGGTACTGGGGTTGGGGAGGGGGTAATCCCCGGAACAGCCCTTCTGGAAACTGGGGGTTGGGGATGTGGTAACTACCTGGAAAGCCCTCGGGTACGGGGGTTGGGGAGACACCGGGAAACCCGTCCCCGGGTATTTGGGGGTTGGGGAGGGGGTTTAACTCCCCGGGGAACAGCCCTCTGGTACTGGGGGTTGGGGAGGGGGTAACTACCTGGAACACCCTTCGGGTAGGGGGGTTTTGGGGAGGGGGTGCCCTACCTGGAATAGTCCCTGGAAAGGGGGGGGTTTTTGGGGGAAAGGGGGGTGACTCCCCTGGAACAGTCCCCGGGTACGGGGTTTTTGGGGGAAAAGTGGTGACTACCGGGAAACACCCTCTGGTCGGTTGGGAAACTCCGGGAACCCCCTCTGGTACTGGGGGTTTGGGGACGGGGTTAACAAACCCTTGGGAACATCTCGGGTAACGGGGGGGTTGGGGATTTGGTACTAACTGAACAGTCTTGGTACGGGGGGTTTGGGGGAAAGGGGGTAACACCGGGAACATCCCTCTGGAAACGGGGGGTTGGGGGAGGGGGAAACCAAACCGGGAAACATCTTTTGGTACGGGGGGTTGGGGAGGGGTTTGACTACCTGGAACAGTCTCGGGTCGGGGTTTTTGGGGGACGGGGGGACTACCGGGAAACCCGTCTCTGGTACGGGGGTGGGGGGACGGGGTAACTCCCCTGGAAAGCCCTCGGGTTTAACGGGGGGTTGGGGGGGAAAGGGGGAAAACTCCCCTGGAAAATTCCTGGTACGGGGGTTTTGGGGGGGGGAAACTCCCCCTGGAACACCCCTCTGGTACGGGGGGTTTGGGGCCCGGGGGAAAAACCTACCTGGAAAAAACCCCTCTGGAAACGGGGGTTTTGGGGACGGTGGTAAAACCCCTTGGAACATCTCGGGTTTGGGGGGTTTTGGGGGGCGTGGAAACCTACCGGGAAAGGCCCGGGGGTACTGGGGGTTGGGGTAACTACCGGAACATCGGGGGTTTCCGGGGGGTTTGGGGATGGGGGAACTCCCGGGAACTTCTCTGGTACGGGGGGTTTTGGGGAGGGGGTTAACTACCTGGAACAGTCTCTGGTACGGGGTTTTTGGGGGGAGGGGGTGACTACCGGGAACACCCCTCTGGTACGGGGGGGTTGGGGAGGGGGTTTTAACTCCCCGGGAACAGTCCTGGTACGGGGGGTTTGGGGGGCGGGAAACCTCCCTTGGAACAGTCTCTGGTACGGGGGTTTTGGGGGTGTGGTAACTACCGGGAACCGTCTCTGGTATTTGGGGGGGGGGGGCCGTGGAAAACTCCCCTGGAACACCCTCTGGTATTTGGGGGTTGGGGCCCGGGTAAACTCCCCCCTGGGAAAAAGGCCTCTGGTACTGGGGGTGGGGTTTAATTTCCACCCCGGGAAACCCATTCTCGGGGGTACTTGGGGGTTTTTGGGGATTTGGGTAACCCCCTGGAACAGTCTCGGGTTACTGGGGGTTGGGGCGGGGAAACCCAAAACCGGGAAAACAGTCTCGGGTTACGGGGGTTTTGGGACGGGGTGATTTCCGGGGAAACAGTCTCTGGTACTGGGGGTTGGGGACGGGGGGACACCTGGAACATTCTCTGGTACGGGGGGTTTGGGGGAGGGGGAAAATTTCCCGGGAACGTCTCTGGAAACGGGGGGTTGGGGGGGGTTTTGGTAACTACCTGGAACAGTCTTTTGGACTGGGGGGTTTGGGGGTTTGGGGGTAACTACCTGGAACAGCCCTCGGGTATGGGGTTGGGGACGTGGTAACTACCGGGACAGCCCTCTGGAAACTGGGGGTTGGGGAGGGGGAAACCTACCGGGGAAAACAGTTTTCTGGTACGGGGGGGTTGGGGGGAGGGGGAAACTACCGGGAAAAAGCCCCCTCACAACCCAGGACACCCGGAGCCCACTCACCCCTTTCCCGGGAGACATTTGAAACCCCACCTTTTTAAGGGAACCCTGGGTGGGAAATAAATTCCTTCTACCCCCCCCCCCCCCCCCCCCAAAAAAAAGTAAAATTTGGGAAAATTGGTTTTTCCCACTGGCTAAGGGGAATGCCCCAATTTGAAAGTCCCTCTGGAAAGAGCGTCTGCTAAATGACGTAAATGTGCCCTTGAGAAAGGGGCACTTAACCCAAATTGTTTCCTGTAAGTCCCTGGAAAAGAGCGTCTGCTAAAAAGACTAAAATTTAAATAAATGAAAATGTCTCGGGTTTACGGGGGGTTGGGGAGGGGGTAACTCCCTTTTAACAGTCTTTTGGGACGGGGTTGGGGACGGGGTGACTCCCGGGAACACCCTCGGGTTTTACGGGGGGTTGGGGGGGACGGGGGGAAACTACCTGGAACAGTCTCTGGAAACTGGGGGTTGGGGAGGGGGAAAACTACCCCGGGGAAACCCGTCCCCGGGTACGGGTTTGGGGGAAACGGGGAAACTTAACTGGAACAGTTTTCTTTTACTTGGGGGTTTGGGGACGGGGTGACTCCCCGGGAACATCTCTGGTACGGGGGTTTGGGGGGGGGTAACCCCCGGGAAAACAGTTTTCTGGTAGGGGGGGTTTGGGGGACGGGTAACTACCTGGAACATTTCTCTGGACGGGGGTTTTGGGGAGGGGGAAACACCGGGAACCCCCTCGGTTTACGGGGGGGTTGGGGACTGGGGGTAACTCCCCCTGGAACAGCCCTCTGGTCCCCTTGGGGGGGGGGACGGGGTAACACCTGGAACAGCCCTTTTGGTATTTGGGGGTTTTGGGGAGGGGTCACTACCTGGAACAGTCTCGGGTCCGGGGGGTTGGGGACGGTTAATCCCTTTAAACAGTCTCGGGTTTCCTGGGGTTTGGGGACGTGGAACTACCGGGAAACCGTCTCGGGTTACGGGGGGTTTGGGGGGAGGGGTGACTCCCTGGAACAGCTCTGGTACGGGGTTTTTGGGGGTGTGGAAACTACCGGGAACACCCCCGGGGATGGGGGTTGGGGTGGGGTAACTCCCCTGGAACGTCTCGGGGTACTGGGCTTTGGGGGGACACTCCCCGGGAACAGCCCTCTGGTACGGGGGGTTTGGGGGGGGGGTTTAACTCCTGGAAGGTCTCTGGTACTGGGGGTTGGGGAGGGTGGTGACTCCCCTGGAACGTCCTCGGGTACTGGGGGTTGGGGGGGGGTTAACTACCGGGAACACCCTCTGGTACGGGGGGGTTTGGGGACGGGGAAAACTACCTGGAACATCCCCTGGTACTGGGGGTTGGGGACGGGTCCCCTCCCCTGGAACAGTCTCTGGTAGGGGGGGTTTTGGGGGGAACGTGGTGACTACCTGGAACAGTCCCTTGTATTTGGGGGGGGGGGAAAACCCAAACCGGGGAACAGCCCTCGGGAAATTTTGGGTTTTTGGGGACGTGGTGACTACCGGGAAACCGTCTCGGTACGGGGGGTTTTTGGGGAAAGGGGGGACAAAGGAACACCCTTTTGGTACGGGGGGTTGGGGGAAAGGGGGGAAAACTACCTGGAAACCCTCGGGTACGGGGGGTTTGGGGGAAAGGGGGTAACTACCGGGGGGGAACAACCCTTGGTACTGGGGGGGGGGAGGGTTTGACTCCCCTGGAACATTTCTGGAAACTGGGGTTGGGGTAACTACCAAAACACCCTCGGGTACGGGGGGTTTGGGGACGGGGAAAACTCCCTTTAAAAGCCCTTTTGGTACGGGGGTTTTGGGGGTAACAAACTGGAACCCCCTTGGGTACGGGGGGTTTGGGGGTAACTAACGGAAAACAGTCTCGGGTCGGGGGGTTTGGGGGGCGGGTGATTTACCTGGAACGGGCCCTCTGGTTTTGGGGGGTTTGGGGGGGAGGGTAACTCCCCGGGAACAGTCTCGGGTACGGGGGGTTGGGGAAAGGGGGAAACCTCCCTTTGGAACAGTCTCTGGTACGGGGGTTTTTGGGGGACGGGGTAATCCCCTTAAACAGCCCTCTGGTACGGGTTTTTGGGGGAGGGGGTAACTCCCTGGAACTCTCTTGGTACTGGGGTTTGGGGGGAAAATAACGGGAACATTCTCTGGTGGGGGGGGTTTTGGGGGACGTGGAAACTACCTGGAAAGTCTCGGGTCCCCGGGGGTTTGGGGGAGGGGGAAAACTACCGGGAAACCAGTCGGGGGTTACGGGGGGTTTGGGGGGACGGGGAAACCTACCTGGAACGTCTCTGGTACTGGGTTTGGGGGCGGGGTAACTCCCCCTTGGAACAGCCCCTCGGGTGGGGGGGGTTTGGGGGCGGGGTAACTACCTTAAAACAGTCTCTGGAAACGGGGGGTTTGGGGGAAAACGGGGAAAACCCCCCGGGAACATTCCTGGTACTGGGGGTTGGGGAGGGGGTTGACTACCGGAACTTTCTCTGTACTGGTGGTTGGGGACGTTTAACCTCCCGGGGAACATTCTCTGGTACTGGGGGTTGGGGGAGGGGGTAACCCCTTTAACATCTCGGGGTACGGGGGGTTGGGGAGGGTGGTAACTACCGGGAACAGTCTCGGTTACGGGGGGTTTGGGGGAAATTTTTGGTAAACCTCCCCTTGGAACACCCTCTGGTATTTTGGGGTTTTGGGGGATGGGGGAAACTACCTGGAAAGTCTCGGGTTTACTGGGGGTTGGGGGTGGGAAACTACCGGGAAAACAGTCTCTTTTACTGGGCTTTTTGGGGACGGGGAAACAAACCCTAAAACCCTCTCGGTCCCGGGGGTTTGGGGGACGGGGTCCTACCGGGAAAGTGTCTCTGGTACTGGGTTTTTTTGG